TATATAATGTTTCAGGACACTATGAACTAGCCACATGTCTAGTACTACTACTCTGAATGTCTTGAAATTTCTCAGGAAAAAGAAGATATACAAGTATTTGTGATTATTTGCTTAGATCAAATCTGCAGAACCTTAGAGAAAATTATTTTCCTTTCTGAAACACAGCACTAACTTTTATATTATGAGGCAATCCAAGATATGTTAGGAATTAAGTAGAAAATCTTATGAGGTTATTGGACAGTGGAAGACAAAGGAACATTATGAAGACAAAGGGACAGTTTTCTTCATTTCATAGATCAAGAAGCTGATACCCAGATTGAGAGTTTAGGTCATTTGACCATTTACTGCTTCTTGGGAAAATCAAGATTGGAGCTTAGGTACACTGATGTGGCCTGATTTTCCTTCTCCAATAAGTTTGGAATTATGATGTTAGAATAGCAAGTCACTAAAAACCCATATACAAATGAAGATACTTTATCTATTGGCCTTCATAATAATTTAGAGACATTTATTGGAGTCATTTTTAGATGGATATTTAATATTCAAATTATAAGGGAATTGGAGTTGGAAAGGAAGAGAGACTTACAGCTGTACATTTCTGCATTAGATGAAAGAAAGGCATATATTTAGAGATAGCTAGATCTGCTGCTCTGACCCAGACCAAAGCACACCTCTCCTCTCACACTCTGGGTGGGTTTGAGGAGATAAGGTAACAGAAACACTAAGACAATAGTAATGCCAAAAATAAAAAAAGACAAATTAATGAAGAAAGAATGATCATTTAATAGACTTTCAGATATTCTATGACAACTGCTACCCTCTTAACTCAGGCCTGAGACAAATGGCAGAGGAAGAAGATTTAACAAGGCACGAGTGAGAACAGAGAAATTGGAGTACTATCAGTGGCATGAGCTTCCAACTGGTGAATTTTTAAAAAATTAGCAACACATTTGTCAGCCCTTTGGTATTTTCTGCTTAAATTGATTTATGTAAATTTCCAGTATGTATTTCTTTGAGGTTTACAGATTTTTTTAATCAAAATATAAAAGTGTTCAGAGGTTCTTCATTTCTCCCTGGCATGTAGAGATAATGTGAAACTCTTAGGGAAAAAAAAAATCATTCTAGGCTTAAGAAGTGGCATGTGAAACTTCTTTCAATAAGCTTTTGAAGTCTGTGAATCATATCTGTCTGTTCTTTTGCAGTGTCTAGTCTCATGAAGAAGAAAAAGACCTGGTAACCCCTCCAACTCAACATGTCTAAAATAGTAGTCTTCCCAGCACCAATGGCCTATTTCTGTTAATTCTCCTAATGCTTCAAATTATCTTGGATTCTTTTCTTTTTCCTATATATTAAAGACATCATTGTGTTCTGAGAATTGTCCATCCATGTGATCTGATTCCCTCTTTCATTCTCTCTGCCTGCAACATCAGTTTGAAGTCTGCAAAGTACTGTTCTCTGCCTTTTCTGTCCATCTCTCTCCCTGTCTCCAATAAATCCTGAACACTGCCACAGTCAGGATTTAGGCTCTTTAGATTTTTAGGTTAATTATCCTAATATGGATATTAAGATGAATACATTTGTAGGCAGATCATTTTAATTCTTCCTCAAAGAAAATCCCAGCACTTTGGGAGGCCGAGGCAGGGTGGATCACAAGGTCGAGAGATCGAGACCATCCTGGTCAACATGGTGAAACCCCGTCTCTACTAAAAATACAAAAAATTAGCTGGGCATGGTGGTGCGTGCCTGTAATCCCAGCTACTCAGGAGGCTGGGGCAGGAGAATTGCTTGAATCCAGGAGGCGGAGGTTGCAGTGAGCCGAGATCGCGCCATTGCACTCCAGCCTGGGTAACAAGAGCGAAACTCCGTCTCAAAAAAAAAAAAAAAAAAAAATGAATAATGGCAGAAGGAAACTGCCATAAGTGAGGATAAAGGGAAGCCATTGAATAAGCCACAAAATAATTCCTAGGAAAATGTCAGTTTCTAATCACTGCTGGCAATGGTAATATTTTATTTCTATCACTCTTGGATATACCTGCAGCAATTGGCAATGGGGTTAGACAAGGGGTTAGTGTGCTTTTTTTAAGGGCAGTGTAAAAAAAGCATCTATGATATCTCACCCATAAACAAGCCTGGTGGGAGAGGAACCCCTAGTAACCAAGGAGGGTAGACAATCTCTATGGCTTTTAGAAAACAGGGTAGAATTAAGTATAACTATCATGAAGTCCTTATGATCACATGCTTAAATAAGCATGTGCTTTAAAAAAAATCATTATTAAAGTTATTAAATGCACAATTCTTAGTCTAGCATTCAAGATTTAACATCAAAATAGCAAACTAGTCTTTCAAAAAAGAATCTCTAACACTCATAAATCTTCAAGAGTGATCTCCTTTTAAAATCTTGATTTACACATGCAATGACCTCCCCCTGGCTCTGCCCCACCCATATCCATTCCCCACTCCCTTTAAGGCCCAATTCAAGACCCACCTTTCCTATGAAGCTTTGTCTCACCAACAGGTCCTCATTACCTTTTCCTCCTCTGAATACCCCTAGCACAGGGGTCCCCAACCCCCAGGCCATGGGCTGGTACCTGTTCATGGCCTGTTAGGAACTGGACCACACAGCAGAAGGTGACTGGTGAGTTACTGTCTGAGCTCAGCCTCCTGTCAAATAAGCAGGGCATTAGCTTCTCATAGGAATGCAAACCCTATTGTGAACTGCGGCATGCGAGGGATCTAGGTTACGAGCTCCTTATGAGAATCTAATGCCTGATGATCTGAGATAGAACACTTTTATCCTAAAACCATCCCACCCACTGCCCACCACTACAACACCCCCATGCCCATCAAAAACTGTCTTCCATGAAACCTGTCCCTGGTGTCAAATAGGTTGGGAACTGTTGGCCTACCAGATACAGTCTGAACTCATTTGTCTCTTAACATACATATATGCCACCTTTAAACAATTCTTTATTTCTGTGTTCTCATTTCCCAGTCTAAATCACTTAACTTCTTCAGCACAGGTTCTGTTTGAGTTAGACAAGGTTGTAGTTAGCACCTAAGCTCATGATGGCTTCTCAATCAACATTTCCTGATTGATTACTGACTGAGCCACTATCAGAAGCAGATGAAAACTTGAGCTGATGGGACCAAAAATGTCTTAGTTTCTGGGATGGTTAGCAGAACCTAGCATGTATCTAAAGACCTCAGAGTGAGACTCCTCTGAGTAATAAACCCCACAAATTGGAGACTCATGCAGATTCAAAGCCACCTACACACTGGAAGAAACTCTGGAGCACTAGGATTTCCAGAAGCCAATTTTTTTTTTCCTCTCTTTTTTCTAGGTGGAATTCGCCTCTGTTGCTGGAGTGTAATAGCGCGATCTCAGCTTACTGCAACCTCCACCTCCTGGGTTCAAGTGATTTTCCTTCCTCAGCCTCCAGAGTAGCTGGGATTATAGGTGTGCATCACCACACCTGGCTAATTTTTGTATTTTTAGTAGAGACAGCACCCAGCTAATTTTTGTATTTTTAGTGGAGACAGGGTTTCACCATGTTGGCCAGGCTGGTCTCAAATGCCTAACCTCGGGTGATCTGCCTGCCTCAGCCTCCCAAAGTGCTGGGATTACAAGCATGAGCCACCACGCCCCGCCTTACTTTTTAAAGTATTTAACTCAAGAGGCCAAGGAAGCAGAAACATCCACACAACCTCCTTCTAGCATGAACAGGTCTTTATTTTGCATTGTCGAGTAGCCCTTGAAACACTCTTGAGAGGTGGAGTAGGAAGTTATTAAAGACCAAGGGGCAGAGAAGACGAGGCAAACCGTTTCCCAACTCACTCTTACGAATCATCAGCGTATTACATATTTTCTCTTTAGACATCTGAACTCCTCTCCAAAGAGGTGTCTACTTTTGATTTTATGGGTTCTAAGAACTTGGTCTCCCAGAGTGCTTCGTCCCTCAAAAGATGTTGAAAGCGGGTATTCTATAATCTACCCAAACTCTTCTTTGATGTTAATTACAGCTGGCTGCAGGGAAAGTCCAGTCCCTTGAGCCCCACCTTTCGCCTGAAGCTGCCTAACAGAGCCCCTGTGTGGCGCAGGGCACGGGCCCAGCCTCTCAGATCGGTTACATCAAGCCCAGGGGTCTACTCCAAGGGCACCAACCCATCACTTTCCTTGCCTGGTATAATTACGTAGTCGACCCTAGAACGCCCCCGCAACGTACCCTCACAGAAGTCGCTGAGCCAAAAACTCCGCAGGTTCCCGCTCCCCCCGCCCCCCCCAAACAGACCGTAGTCCCTCCCTCTTTGCCACGGTACTTGAGTCTGTAAGACTAAGGCTAAGACTGCATTGGTTTTAGCATTTGGGGTCTTTTCAACCGCCGGGAAAGCGGGAGACGTCCCCGGCAGCAGGTCCCGTTTTTTTCTCCCCACCTGCCTCTCCGTCTTTCCCGGGCACTACTGCTTAAGACACTACAGTCTCGACCATCCCACCCACTGCCCACCCCCTGCACACGGGATTTTTTTTTTTTCCGTTCCATGAACCAGACATAACGATTCTGGTTTACATATTTAAGCGAAGGCGGGGAAGAAACGCGACTCTCAGGACCCAAGGGCTGAGGCAAGTTTCTTTGGTTTAAGACCTCCAGTGAAATCATTTTTCTTCTGCAAAGCCTTTCCTACAACGACGGCTTAATCGTGTAATTATGTAAACCAGTTACAATCTGGATAGCTAAACAAACAAAAAAAACAATTCCCGACGCCCAAGCCAAGCCAGCTCCTCCTCGCCGCGCCGCATCCCAAACACCCCGCGCCCCCTCCCCTGCAGCCAGGTTTCGGTTCAACCGACAGCTACCGGAAGTGGGAGAGGCTACTGGCCCAAAGGAGGGAGGCGGGACTTGATCTCCGAGCAACGGCCCCGGCGATTGGCCAGCTCCTTCTGAGACCGTGACCAATGACAGGCTCCCTGAAGCGCTCGGCGAGCCGACTGCGGCTGCGCGGGAGATTCGAATTGGCGGCGGCTACTGGCTTGTGGTGCGGGTTTGGCTGCCGCCGCCCAGCATTTTCTGGCCATGGACACCCCGGAAAATGTCCTTCAGTAAGTGTCCATCTGGTGGGGTGGGGAAGCCCAGGGGCTGGGGCGCCTGGCGTGGGGAAGCCCAGGGGTTTGGGGCGCCTGGGGTTTGGGCCCGGCCCGCCCTAGGCCTGCCTTCTTTTGCTCCCTCCCCCCGCTTCCTGGGTTTGGAGTGTGTCCAGGAAGGCCGTGGGCCGCTTGAGAGCCGGGGAGGGCTCGGCACAGTGGGCTCCCGCCGAGGCCCGGTGCTCGTCCGCCCAGCTGCACCACAGTGGCCGTTTGAGGAGATTTGGATAATTCGTTGGGCCCCCAGAGCTCTGGTTAATTCTTTGTGAGGAACTGTCTCCTGATAGCTGTTTAACCTAACAAAAACCCCGAACCCTCTGTTTAGATTTTAAGATAAATTTTCAAAGTCACGTGTTTAACAATTAGACTACAGCAGGGAACGAATTTAAAGTTGCTCTCATACCCATAATCCCACCGCTATTTTTAAAAAGTCTTTGAATACAGGGTACTTTAAGAAAAAAAGTGGAAAAGAATAAAATAGCTTTGCTTATTATTGAGTGACGTGTGCCCGCCTGCTAACATCACTAACTTTTTAAAGTTCCCACGCCTTTGTTTTTTGACTTAGATGGTTTACTAAGACTGTAACTTAAAACTGTTTAAAACAATTAAGTCATAGGTGGCAGGATGTAAAACTGGCCCGTTTTATTAGTTCATTGGGATTAGAAGACCGAGATTGTTAAATACAGTAAAAACAAAAATATATTTGCTCTAGGACTTTTTCTGTAGCCTTCAACCTAGCCAGCAAATTATTTTCTTTCAGAAGTTTCCCCATTTTTAAAGGGAAAGCAGATATTCCTGGTCTCATTTTGACTTACTAAAGATTAATTTGCTTTAGTGAACTGGTTGTTTTAGTATTACAGTGTATTTAGATCATTTTACTAGAGAAATGTGGTTGGTGTTAGAATATGAAATGTTTACCTTGGATGGGCCTACTAGACATATTTTGGAAGAAAAGTTCTGAAATATGGATTTGTCCCTCTTCTCTATGAAGCATGAGAAACATTCAGAATTCAGAAGTAATTTTTTTTAGTTTCAAAAATAAGCAATACAGTTATATGATTAAAAGAAGAGTGAGAACAATATTTACCGAGAACTCCTGTACCTGCCTACCCTCCTACTCTGTCATGTGTAACCGTTTTTTCTAGTTTATTTTTATTTTTCTTTATATTTACCTAAAAAGAAGTAAATATTGCTTTTTAGGCGGGGCATGGTGGCTCATGCCTGTAATACCAACACTCGAGACCAAGGCAAGAAAGTCACTTGAGGCCAGGAGTTCAAGACCAATAGTGATACCCCATCTCTGCAAAAAATAAAATAAAAAATTAGCCAGACATGGTGGCATGTGCCAGTAAATCTCAGCTACTCAGGAGGCTGAGGCAGAAGGATCGTTTGAACACAGAAATTTGAGGTTACAGTGAACCATGATTATACCAATGTACTCTAGCATGGACAACAGAGCAAGATTCCATCTCTAAAAAAAATAAAAACATATATTGCTTTTTACATCATTTAAAAATATATATATATAGTGTCTCAGATAGAAAACCTAGGAGTCTTCCTGACTGGTTTCGTACTTCCCTTCTTACCTTCTATTCCTTTCTTCACACAGAGGGACATAAAAATGAAAATTAGATCTTGTCACCCCCACTTTTTCCTGCTGATGACACTTAAACCACACTGGCTTTCTTTCTGTTCCTGAAGTTCTCTCAGCCTTGACCATTTCGTTCCCAGATAACTACATGGCTGTCTGGCATTGATCACCTGTTACTGCCTCAAGAGAGGCAGGACTTCCCTGGCCACTTTATCTAAAAATAGTAACTTGTCACATTCTCATCCTTTTTCCTGTTATGTTTTATTTAGTTTGTTCTTCTAAGTACTTAATGTAACCTGACATTACTTTGCATGTTTCTTTTTGTTTGTTTAGCCCCTCTAGCATCTGAATTTCCAAGGGGAATTTTGCTCTACTTGGCTGATTTTTTTTTTTTGATTTAGGCCTTGGCTGAGTATGTGGAAATGGGGGAAGTAGAGTTCTCTGGGAGTTCTGTGGCTGATTTCTGAGCACTGCTGTCATCTGCTTTTCCTCAGGGACTTTGTTACTCTGAAGCCATGAAAACAAACTGTGTCTGGAAGCTCTACTTTGTGGTACTCTGGGCTGCCTCACACCCATTTACAGGCCCTCTTTGACTCTTGTTCCAGCCATGTGTCAGCCATGCTCCTGGGAAGCAAAGGCAGGGATCTGAGTCACTGCCTTGCCTAGATCCCACTGGAAGGGCAGGGGTCTGAGTCAGTGCCATGCTTAGATCCTCCTGTTAGAAGGAGCAGCAAACTTGTGGACACTGGCCCTCATGGTGGCAGTGACATTGGGGTTCCATGAGAGGAGAAGGAGACCCTTGGGGATACAGCTGGGACTTCTGGAAAAACACTGGCTGCTTCTGAGTTTTCTGACTACTTCTGAGCAAATGCTTCTTATTAAATACTATTTGGATTGATATTTAAGATTTTCATTTTAATGTATATAAATGGTATATATAAAATCAAGTGTATCTTTTGCTTGTAGGAATTGTCCCTAACATCCCATGTGCATACTTTTCTCTGTTCTAGGATGTTTGAAGCCCATATGCAGAGCTACAAGGGCAATGACCCTCTTGGTGAATGGGAAAGGTCAGCATTTAGTTATTTTTTTTTTTAAACAAGCTGTATGCTGTCCTATGGAAAATTAACATTACCCATATTTTTGTAGCTACATACAGTGGGTAGAAGAGAATTTTCCTGAGAATAGAGAATACTTGGCAACTTTACTGGAACATTTAATGAAGGAATTTTTAGATAAGAAGAAATACCACAATGACCCAAGATTCATCAATTATTGTTTAAAATTTGTAAGTATACTTAAGATGTATCATCAAATCTATAATCATGTTGTATTTCTGCTTTTTAAACTTACATTGTAAGATCATTTTAGACTTTTAGTTCCTCATTTCCAGTTCTGAAGATAATAGAGAGGAAAAACTGTTTATTCTCTGATTCAGTGGACTTCTGTGCCACTAGTCATTAAAAAATATGTGAGGGATGGGCACAGTGGCTCACACCTGTAATCCTAGCACTTTGGGAGGCCAAGGTCGGTGGATCACTTGAGTTCAGGAGTTCACGTGCAGCCTGGTCAGAATGGTGAAAACCTATCTCTACTAAAAATACAAAAATTAGACCGGCATGGTGGCAGGTACCTGTAATCCCAGCCATTCAGGAACCTGAGGCTGGAGAATTGCTTGAGACTGGGAGGTGGGGGCTGTGGTGAGCCGAGGTCATGCCACTGCACTCCAGCCTGGGCAACAGAGTGAGACTGTCCTCCCCAACCCACCCCCAAAAAAGTACGTGCAGACTTCTCTCTACCTGCAGTCAATCAGTCAGCTCTGTAGTTGTGTCTCCGATTCAATTCCAGCACTACCTGAAACAAGTTAAGGGCTCTGTTCCACAAGACTGCCTCCCACTTCCAATGCCAGTTGCAAGCCACACATTGTTTTACCTGTGCTTCTGATTGACCGGCTATAAAGCAGAGTTCCCACAACCCTCTCTTTGGGCTTGGGTTCCATCAATTTGCTAGAATGGCTCACAGAATGCAGGGAAACACTTACGGTTACTGTTAATAAAGGATATTACTAAGAATACCAATGAACACCAGATGAAGAGATGTTTAGGGCAAGGTATTTGGGAAGGCGTGTAGAGCTTCCTTGCCCTCTCCAGGTATGACACCCTCCAGGAACCTCCCTGTGTTTAGCTCTCCAGAAGCTTGTCTAAGCTCTGTCCTTTTGGGTTTTTATGGTGGTGCCTTACACAGACATGATTGATTAAATCATTGGCTGTTGATGATCAGCTTAAACTTAGTCCCTCTTCCCTCCCTGGAAGTTCAGGGGTGGGACTGAAAAGTTCAACCCTCTAATCCTGCCTTGGTTTTGCCCCCATCTGAAGTTACCTAGGGGCTCCTAGCTTAGCTGGCTAACTCCTCACCACATGTAGACTAGCAGTTCCATTATTTTTACATCTTTTTGTTTTGGATTCCCGTAGGCTGAGTACAACAGTGACCTCCATCAGTTTTTTGAGTTTCTATACAACCATGGGATTGGAACCCTGTCATCCCTTCTGTACATATCCTGGGCGGGGCATCTGGAAGCCCAAGGAGAGCTGCAGCATGCCAGTGCTGTCCTCCGGAGAGGAATTCAGAACCAGGCTGAACCTAGAGAGCTCCTGCAACAACAGTACAGGTAGCTACCAATTAAAACTCCCTGTGATGCTTCCGACTTTGAAATGTAATGTTTGCTCTTAAAAATTTTATCGTTAGCAATTTATACAGGAAAATCCTAGTTTTGGAAAATGTGGATAATACAGGATAGTATAAAGAAAAACAAACTGCTCAGAAATACTACATTAATAATAACTGACACATTTCCTTCTAGTATCTTTTCCTGTGCATGTGTGGGAATCCTTGTATTTGTATATTTTAACAGTAAATCATTGTATGTTTGGTTACACATACAAAGAAATTTATACTTAAGAAATTATGAACTTTTAAACTACTTCTAAAGTGGTTGTGAAATCTGTCACAGTGTTGTGTCATAATCCAACCTCTCTCCAATTGGACATTTAAGTTGTTTACATTTTGATTTTTATAAAAAGCGCCATGATGGATACCTTTTTTTTTCTTTTTTCATTTTTTCTTGAGACGAAGTCTCACTCTGGTGTCCAGGCTGGAATGCAGTGCTGAAATCTCAGCTTACCTCTTCCTCCTGGGTTCAAGGGATTCTCCTGCCTCAGCCTCTTGAGTAGCTGGGACTACAGGCACATGCTACCACACCTAGCTAATTTTTGTATTTTCAGTAGAGATGGGGTTTCATCATGTCGGCCAGGATGATCTTGATATCCTGACCTCGTGATCCACCCCCTCGGTCTCTCAAAGTGCTGGAATTACAGGTGTGAGCCACTGTGCCCGACTTACCTTTTTTTTTTTTTTTTTTTTTTTTAAATAAAGACAGAGTCTTACTCTGTTTCCCAGACTGGAGTGCAGTGGTGTAATCTCAGCTCACTGCAGCCTCCCCCTCCGGGCTCAAGAGACTCTCCTGCCGCAGTATCCTGAGTAGCTGGGACTACAGGCATGTACCACCATTCCTGCCTAATTTTCATATTTTAGTACAGAAGAGGTTTTGCCATGTTGGCCAGGCTGGTCTCCAACTCCTGACTGCAAGTGATCTTCCTGCCTCGGTCTCCCAAAGTGCTGGGATTGCAGACGTGAGCCACCGCGTCTGGCCTGTGATGAATATCTTAATGAATAACGTTGTTCACATTTTTAAAACTTATTCTACGATTTAGCATATCTCACTTAGAGAATTGTGAAAATATAGAAAATGAAAGAAAACCTTTTGGCATTTTCCTTGGTGCTTTTTTCTCTCCTTGTTACAGGATTGCATGCATGCTTTCTGTACATATGCAGCTTTGTGTCAAGGTCTTTTCCCTTCATCATAAAAGTATTTTTTAATGTATTTCCTATTTTTACTTAGTTACTTCTCATAGAGTCTCAGAATTGAAACTCTTGAGCCAAAGGGTGTATGAAGAGTTTTTAGGCTTGTGGTGCATGTAACTAAACTACTTACTTGAAGGTTATACCAATTGTTTACCCTTCTCCTCTCATTAGTAGAATTTGAGACCCGTTATCTACTGAACCCCTTGCCAGCCTTTAATATACTCATCTGTTCAATTCTTCTACGGTATTCATGCTTTTTAAAGATGTCATCATGAGATTTTTCAAACACCCATAAAAGAGAAAAATTAGTGTAATAAACTTCCATTTATCTATCACCAACTTTTAATATTTAACATTTTGTATTTCTCAATGCTGAAGAATTTTAAAGCAGATCCATAACAGCAAAATATTTTACCTGAAACCCTATTGTAAACATCTCTAAAATCTTACTTCTTACAGAGCCTTGTTCCATAATCATACCTAAGAAAACTAACAATAGTTATTTAATATCACATAATTTTCAGTCTTTTCTCATCACATAAAGTGGCTTCTTAACCATTGGTTTGTTTGACTTAAGAGCCAACAAGGTTTACCACTTGGTTGCTTTATAGGGTGCAGTTTGGATTGCATCGCTCAAAAATGTCAAGTGTAGGAATTGCACATTACTTGACAGAGTTGAAAATGAAACACACCATGAAATGCCTCTCACAGCATTTCGTATGTCTGCCTTTTGAAGCAGTAGTCTAAGTACTTTTGTACTTTCACTGCTTTCTTCCAAATATATTCATTATGTTCCAAATGTATTAAGTACCTAAAGTAGGAGTTTAGACACCCTGGGTTAGAACATTTGCAGACGTGATACATGGAGAAAGAGGGTGTATTTGTTATATGACTTTAAGAAATACTAACAAACTAGGCAAAGGGAGGAATTTTTGTAATACGGGTAGTATATTGGATATAAAGATATTTCCAGCATTTTATTTTTTTATTTTGAAACAACTCTAAAATGCAACTGTACGTTCTCTCTTGACCTCAGACTTTACTAGCTTATAATAAGTTGTCTGTGGTATTTAGTTTTCACTCTAGCAGCTATGTATCGAACTGTAAATTTATAATCTATATTGATGCCTTTTCTACTGTCATTTAGGTTATTTCAGACACGCCTCACTGAAACCCATTTGCCAGCTCAAGGTAAAATCAGACTTTCTAAAATGCCTATTGTTGTCCATTCGGTCTTGGATTTGTACTAGTGTTTCCTTTTCTCTAAAAAACAAAATCAGCTGGGCATGGTGATGCACCCCTTTAATCCCAGCACTTTGGGAGGTCCAGACAGGTGGATCACCTGAGGTCAGGAGTTTGAGACCAGCCTAGTCAACATGGTGACATGCTACCTCTACTAAAATACAAAATTTAGCTGGGTGTGATAGCATGTACCTGTAGTCCTGGCTACTTGGGAAGCTAAAGCAGGAGAATTGCTTGAGCCTGGGAGGCGAAGGTTGCAGTGAGCCAAGATCACACCACTGCACTCCAGCCTCGGTGACAGAACGAGACTGTCTACACACACACACCACATCCAATTTTTAAAGAAACCCAGATTGTACTCTCAGGTAATAGAGAAAGCACTCCAATCATTGTAATGCCTACTAAATAGCCCCAGAGAGAAAGGGCTTTGTCTTAGCATTTTAAAAGAGCAACCCTGCAAGAAAAGCCTGATGATTTCACTGTATTTCTAGGATTTTGTTTTTTAATTCAAAATTGACCAAATAGTTAATCTGGACTCCATCTATTTTGAATGGAATCAAATGTGTTTAATGCAACTTTTAAAGAAACATAGCCATTCTTTTCTTAGAACTAAACATCACATTTTAGCAATAAACCTACCCTATCTTGTTGTTTAAAATCATTAGTTAGATTTTATGTTTCTTTTGGGTACTTCCTGGCATTTTGAATTGATCAGAAAATTGTATAATATTTATTTTAAAAATGTAGTTGAAATTTCTGACACAGTAGGAATGAGTTGATTTATTTCTTATGATTCTTACTGGAAGGATGAGGGGAATGTATTAGGTGTGATAATTTTATTTATTATGGTTTTACCCTTATTTTCTCCTTATTTTATCCTCTTTTCCCTCATAGCTAGAACCTCAGAACCTCTTCATAATGTTCAGATTTCAAACCAAATGGTAACATCAAAATCAAATCCAGGAAATAGTATGGCCTGTATTTCTAAGAATCAGGTAATGATGACATTTGTAGGTTGTATGGACACTGGGAATGGTATTGAATGGCCAACCTGGCTGCCTTCTGTATCCAGCTTGACATCTCATTTCTTTGATCTTTCTCTCATGACTAACCTCCATGTCAGCTACATGTTCCTGGGGCAACTTCCTGGGCCTGTTATTCTCTTCCGCAGCGCAACTCAAATGTAATTTATTGTCTAACCCAGAGGCCCCCACCATACAGCCTCCTGTCTTTACTCTCCCCAGCAGCTTCTCCCCTGCCAATATCCTTTCCTCCTCTGCTCTGCTGGCCTCTGCATAGGCTGTGGAGATCTCTACCTGGGATTATACCCATCTGGGGGCTCCTGAAGCTGGCTTTCAAAACTCGGAGACTCAAAGGTTGATGCCTGTTGCCTCAACTAGGGCTCTCATACTCCTAGGCACTGGGACATGCTTCCAGTGTCCGATTCACTCTTTATGTTTTGTGTATCTCTTATGTTTCCAGGTTCACTCTTTAGCACCAAATTATAGTGATTTTAAACTTCTTTTCAGTTTCTTCAAACTCAAGACCTGGCTACCTCTAATTTCTCTCTCGAACTTAAATTCTATTTCAGCAGATACCATCAAGTGATATCTGTCAGTTTTCTGCCCCCAACCAATAAATGTAACTGCATCCTTCCCTGTGAGAAAAGGTTGCTGTCTATCTGCACTTGTCATTATCTTCATCAAGAGTTTTGCTCTATGGAGATCACTTCTGCCTCCATGGTTTATCAACATGGGAAAATGCTCAAGTCTCTCCTTCCCTCAGCCTCACGTTTCCCAGCTATGTTTCCCATGTTACCCTCCATAGTACAACTTTCAAAGTTCATCAGGGACCTCCTTGAAGCAAAAGCCAATGGCAATGCCTCTGTTCTTAGGGTATATGTACAGATTTTATTAATGTAACACATTCTTAGAAGCAGAATATGCATTCCTGACATGTAGTGCAACTTGTCCCAATTTACATTTTATATCCTACACATGCTTGCCAGCCTCCTGACCTCGTATTGCTCTGTCTAAGCTCTAGACAGTAGAGATGGGTCTTGATTACAGTAATATTTTCTAGACCTAGCTCAGAGTGTGACATGGAGGTGTCTGGTAAATACTTGTTTAGTGAATGAATTTGGGAACTCTTGAGGGCAGAGTAGTACCTGAGGAAAATTTTAATTAAAAAAATGTTGAACACAGCAGTTGGGAATATCCATCCCATAGTGTTTAGACACTATAGCCTAACTCCTAGACTATAAATTGAAGGGAAATCAACTAGGGTTCTTCTCTACTGCTGGGTAGGACTTTATCAAAAATAAAACTCTTTCCTGGATTAGATTAAGTTGCAATACTTATTGTGCGGTTAATGATACAAACTGAATCTTTTGATATTAATCATAATTTAAAAATATATTAATATGATGTAATATATAAGCATAATATAAAATATATAAGTATAATATAAAATAAATAATGCGAGAGAGATATATATAAATCTACTTGAGATTAAGGGTCCTCTTCCCCTCAAGCATTTTCATATTTTGTGAAGTAATTTAGGTGACACTTTCTTCTCAGATAGGTGAATGCTCATGTTTGTTTTCTGTTTTTAGGGTTCAGAGCTTTCAGGAGTGATATCTTCAGCTTGTGATAAAGAGTCAAATATGCAAGTATAATCAGTGCATTAATCTATTATGAATTTGCTTCAAATGTTCTTCAATACATTGTTGTAAATGTATTTTCCCCCGTTGTAGGGAACAAAGAGTAATCATGATTTCTAAATCAGAATATTCTGTGCACTCATCTTTGGCATCCAAAGCTGATGTTCAACAGGTTGTTATGTATTGCAAGGAGAAGCTTATTCGTGGGGAATCAGAATTTTCCTTTGAAGAATTGAGAGCTCAGAAATACAATCAACGGAGAAAGCATGAACAATGGGGTACTTGCAATCTTATATTTTTAGTTATTCTTATGTCACTTAAAATAATCCTCATCTCTGAGTAATTTTTTATAGAATAATTGGCTATGTTGAAAGGCTCTGTAAAAAAGTCTTCATCTCATCCTGTCAGAAGCCCAGAAGTCATTATTAACCCATTTTGCATTTGCCTGGAGAATATTGTACTGGCAGCAAGCTGCACTTCCTTTTCTAAATGGGAAATTGGTTAACCGCTAGTGTAGCATCCAAGTTAGTCCAAGGACTAAATTGATGTCTTGGTAGCAAACTCATAGTTGAAAGAGTGCAAATTAGATATCCATACCAGTGTCATTTTAGCTTTAGTGAAATAAATATTTAAAATTTTTCCAATATTATCTGTATATTGTAATTCTAAATCTCTAGGTCAGTTATTTGAACCTTTATTCCATTTGGGACTTTTATATCATCTAAGTTATTTGGGCTATAGCCATTCTGGGCCTTTCTTTTTTGTTCTTTACTTTTCATATTCAATTGACAACAGAGAAGGCAAGTCAGTTAACACAGAGGACCCATTTTGTACTGGGCATAGATCCATTTTTCTTTCACATGCCATAACCGAAGTCTTAAGCCAGACTCTTTGATTTGTCTGATACGGCTCTGTTAACCAGTTATTGGAAGTGGGACTAATCACAGCATGCTTGAAGCCCTGATCATTTAGTTCACTTCACTTCTATTTAGTCTCTAGAGATTTTTGTCTTTTAAAAATAAAAACTTATTTTAAAATGATTTGCACAATCATGATTGTTTACAAGAACAATTATGTATATGATGGTTAAAAAAAATCTTTGCTATTATACTGTGCTGTTATTTTTTATCAACATGTAGATTTTTTATTTTTTTTATTTTTATTTTTTAGTAATTTACATGCCCTGAATATATAATAACCAAGCTGAGGGCAGGTAAAAATTAAAAAGTAATACAAGTTTCACTTCTAAAACCAAATACAAGAAAGACTAACAAAAAAATCGGGCGCCTAAAATATAACCCTTTCCTCATTTTGCATGTATTCCTATGATGACTTGAATTTAAGTTTTGCATGCAATCCATTTTTTATCTTTCCTAAAGTAAATGAAGACAGACATTATATGAAAAGGAAAGAAGCAAATGCTTTTGAAGAACAGCTATTAAAACAGAAAATGGACGAACTTCATAAGAAGTTGCATCAAGTGGTAGAGACATCCCATGAGGAGCTGCCCACTTCTCAGGAAAGGTCTGAGGTATATTGTGCTCTTTATGACACGTCCCATGCCCAATAGCAGGAATTGCAGTATTGATTTGTTCCTTTCTATATGCTGATTTTCAAGTTAATTCTGTTTATTTAGCTGGTAACTTTCTGAAATTGTAACATAATTTGACACAGAAGTTCAACATGTAGAGTGAGACAAGAAAGTTACAGAACAGAATGGTAGTATGTTTTACATGTTTGTATGTATACATATCTATATATTCATGTATTAGTATTTATAGAACTTTTTTGTTTTTTGTGCAATGACTTGTGTAATTAAAATTGGAATATAGTACTCTTAATAATTTATCATCTAGATATATTTTTTGTTTGCCATTACTTCATGTTGGAAAAGGAAGAGAAATGGTGAGTGTGTTAGAGCCACATATATTTTCTTAAAATTAGTCCATGAACGAGGGAGATTGGAAATAAACTAATTTAAGCTGTATAATGGTTGCTTAATCTGCATCATAGTTTATATCTGACTATGACATAGGATACCATGAAGATAAAATACTTAATTTTGTTACATATTTGGAAAGTATAAAAGTATGTGACTATATGATGGTTTTTTAAAATATCACATGAAAGATGTGTGTATAAATATATATGTATGTATGTATGTTGGACAGGGTCTTGCTCTGTCACCCAGGCTACAGTGCAGTGGTGTGATAACTGTTCGTTGTATCCTCCTTAGCTGTGACCATAGGCATGTGCCACCACACCCACCTAATTTTTTATTTTTATTTTTGTAGAGATGGGGTCTTGCCATGTTGCCCAGCCTGATGCCAAACTCCTGGGCTCAAGCGTTCCTCTTGCCTGAGACTCCCAAAGTGTTGTGATTACAGGTGTGAGCCACCATACATGATCTGAATGTTCTCCTTTATTGTCAACTGCTATAGTTTGTATTCTTCCAGACTTACCGTGTATGATTTACATGTGTGTGTACACATGAATGCAATAGAACGTTCTATATAAATGACTTATTTTCTGCTTTTTCTTCCTAACATATCTGATAGATCTTTCACTACTGTTGCATAGAAATCTAACTGATTCTACTTGCAGCATAGTCTTCTGTCATACCTTATAAAAGGGAGCGTATCATGTAGAAACTGTTACGAGTCATGCTGTCTTGAAAGTTTATGTACCTAAAAACTTGTCAGACTGCCCTCTATAAACAGGATTGTCCACTACCATTAATAGTGTGTAAAAGTACTTGTTTCTTGTACACATTTAGCTAAATCTTTTCAAGCACCTAATGTAGTTTCTTTAATTATAGGTGGATTTGGATCTTTTTTGGATACACTTAGTGTTTTTTTTTTCTTTAAATTGGCTTAATAGCTGTGTCCATTTTTCTATTGAGTCATTTCATTTTTTAAATTTATTTATTTGGATTTCTTTTCTTGTATAATTTATATTTTCTCTGGATGGTTGTAAGAAAGTTGTTAAGAAATTATTCTCCCTGGCTCCTTTCCTGTGGTATATCCATTGTTCCCATGTCTTCATTTCTCCTTAATGTCTTCATTTTGAAGACACATATTCTCCAGTAGCTTTAAAAAAAAAAGAAAAAGAAAAAAAGCAGCATGTTTGAGGCGTTAGTTTTTGAGGTCTCTTGCATGTCTAAAAGCATCTTTATTCTACCCTCACACTTGGTTGATGACTTGGTTGGGCACAATGTTCTAGGAAGGAAATCACATTCCCTCAGAGTTTTTAGAGGCACTCCTTCATTGTTTTTTAGCTTGCACAATTGGTGTGGAAAAGCCCAGGGTCCTAATTCTTGGTTCTTTGATGTGACCTTTGTTTTTCTCTGGTGGAGTGTAGGATCATCTTCCTCCCCTGTGTTGTGACATAATGATGTGTTTGGTGTTTATCTTTTCATCCATTATACTTAGTACTTAAATGTTCTAGTTTTGCAATTCTGGGCAATTTTCATGATGTATATTTTTAGGGGTGGATATTTTTCCCTCATACTCTCTGTTAGGCTATCCTGGACTGGTCATTTAATTTTCTTAAATTTCACCATTTTCTATCTTTGTCCTTTTCTACCCCTAATTTTCTTTGAGATTGCCTTAATTTTTATGGCCATCTTATTAAATTCTTTTATTTCTGATGTCATTTTAGGATTATGTTGCTTTTTTAAATTATGTATGCTCATTTTCACAGGTGCCTATTATTTTGTGAATGTAATATCTTACCTCTTAATGTGAAGAAATTAATTTTTTAAAAATGGTCTCAGAATCCTTGATTTCCTGTTCATATGTATCATTTCCTTTGACCTTTGTGCTCATATTGAAAGTTTACCATGAGACCGTCTGATCTCTGCTGTGTACTCATCTAAGAGCAGGCCCAAGAAGGCTGATTGGAGGCCATAGGTGTGTGAGTGAGGCTTGTTAACTGGTCAGCTTCACAGGAAGGTCTGTTTTCTCGGCCAGATAGATTCCCAAGAGCATGGAGTATAAACCTGGCTTGCTAGCATTTGCAAAGACAAGGAAAGGATTCAGAGGTCCAAGTGTTCAATGAGTAGGTTGACCAGATCCTTTTGTTTCTCGTGTGGTGTCTGTCACCACCATCCTCAACCTAGTCTAGAGTCCTTTTGATTATTTCTCCAGAAAGGAGACTTCCGGTTTGCTGCCAGGCCAAGCATGAGGAATCACACCCTGCATGTACCTACAAGAATGGGTCTTAGCATCTGCTTTTCAAACAGACTTACAGTGTTCTTGTCTTCAGCTCCACCTTCACTTGCCATTTTAAGGTGTAGCTAGCATTGTAGATTTCCTGAACTTACCTAGCAATTAGGGACACACCACTCCTAGCCTTTTTCAACAGCTATGTTAAGTGTTAGAATTCCTTCACTGTCATTTTGGTGAGAGTTTTAGAGTATATGAAGCCACTGTCTTTAACCAGAAACCTCCCTTTTCCAAACTTACTTCTCTATATGAATAGCATCAGGGTATATTTTCCAAGTGGATTGCTTGTTATCCCTAAATCATTTATTGACCTGCTCAGCCTTTCCCCGTCAATTTAAAATATCTTTACCATGTACTAAATTTTGATATATACAAGATACCTTTAGTATAGGTATTTTAGTCACTAGGTCTCTTCTTGATCATTTCATAGGTGTATTTACTACAACTTTCTTATATGTTTTGAAATCTGGTGGAGAAAAATCTCTGGCATTGTTCAGAATATTTCTTTAGAATTTAATGTTAGGATTTCAAAAATCTTTACTAATTTGGTAGGTAAGAAAATGGTGTAGGTTATTTTTGATGACAAATGAAGATAAGCTTTTTATATTTTTTTCCATTTGTCTGTAAAATAACTATTCTTGCCCTAGATATTTGGTGATACGTGTTTTTGGAGACAGGATCTTACTCTGTCCTCTAGGCTGGAGTGCAGTAGTGCAATCTCTGCTCACTGCAATCTCCTCCCAGGCTCAAGTGATCCTCCTACCTCAGCCTCCTGAGTAGCTGGGACTGCAGGCACATCCCTCCATGCCCAGCTAATTTTTTGTAGAGACAGAGTTTTGCCATGTTGCCTAGCCTGTTCTCAAACTCCTGAGCTCATACAAACCACCAGCCTCAGTCTCTCAAAGTTCTGGGACCAATTACAGGCATGAGCCATCCGTGCCTGGCTGTTTTTCTTGACAGTTTGTAAGAAGACTTTTATATGGTGAGGAATTAACTCATCCAACTTTGTAATATTAAAGCATACAATTACAATCTTAAATAGATGTGAGTAGCAAAGCAAAGATTTTAAATTTAGAGCTTATTATCCTTCCTGTTGTGAGACAGGCTTTTGTGGCAGTTATTATTGCAATTTATATTAGTGTTTCCTATTCTTCAAAGTGAAAATGGCTATGAAGAGTCTTTTTTTTATGTTTTCCCTTTTTTAAGCCCTAGCTCATATATTAAACAAGGGTATTTTAATGGAAGGAATACTATTATGAGCTTTTGCTAACACTGATTTGTTGAACTTTTCCCAAAATTAAGTAAAGTAAGATAATACTTAAATACTGATACAACTATAGAGCCTGATTATGTCAGTGGTTAGAAATTATGAGCTGCCACTGGTGTCTGTGGTTCAGAAGCTACAAACCACCCATTTGTAGAGTGATCTTTTTGTTGTTGACTATACATTTCAGAATGCTTGAAGAAGAAGTATAGGGAAACTTCAAGGAAAAAGGAATTGGCCAGGCATGGTGGCTTACACCTATAATCCCAGCAGTTTTCAAGGCTGAGGTGGGCAGATCACGATGTCAGGAGTTTAAAACCAGTATGGTCAACATAGTGAAACCCTGTCTCGACTAAAAATAAAAAAAATTAGCAGAGTGTGGTGATGTGGGCCTGTAATCCCAGCTGCTCAGGAGGCTGAGGCAGGAGAATCGTGTGAACCCAGGAGGTGGAGGTTATAGTGAGCCGAGATCACTTCATTGCACTCCATCCCAGGTGACAGTGCAAGACTCTATCTCAAAAATATAAAAATAAAAAGGAATCTATTGAAGATAATGCCATGCTTTGAAAAGTTCTAATGCCTGATTAGTAGTATTCTGGACTTCATGATTTTTTTGTTGTTGTTTGTTTATTTGTTTAACATGAAAGGTTAATCCAGCATGTATGGGACCAAGTGTAGGCTCCCAGCAGGAACTGAGAGCTCCATGTCTTCCAGTCATCTATCACCAGACACCAGTGAACATGGAAAAGAACCCAAGAGAGGCACCTCCTGTTTCCTCCTTTGGCAAATACTATTTCTGCAGCTTTGGTGTCCCAAGCTACTAGCCAGAGCATTCCTCCTCCAGTTCCTTTGAAAGCCCAGGCAGTAACAGACTGTATGTTTGCAGTGTCCAGAACAGATGCTGGGTAAGCTGAAGGTAGTCCTAGAAATGATAGTGATGTGAATCGCACCTGTCACCTTCTTTACATGACCGGCATTATCAGCAGTATGTAAAACATGAATGACTTCTGCCTTTTATTTTTAGATAAGTATGTTGTTGAAAAAGCAAGTGGCAAAACACTGCTCCCAATCCTTTAGGGTTACTTTTTCCATGCTTCTTTTAGAGCATTTCTTTTACTTTACACTTTTGTGAATTAAAAATTTTCAATACCCTGAAAGTCAGTGGTCACTTTGTAACTGAAGAATATACAGCTATTGAGCTGAAATTGCCTTTGCTCACTGGCTTTGACTGCAAGGATCATAACTATCTAGACAGTTACTTGATATGTGTTCTCATATTCCTTCTGTCTTCCTGTAGGGAACAGTTTGGGATTGATACCCAAGATTCTGTCTCTTAAAATGTACTCTGCACTGGATTTTTTACCCTAATTTTGAGGGTTTTTTTTTTTCTGGATTTCGGGAATTATAATGTCACATCACTTATTTTATTTGCATTTTTACCTCCCGTCATTTCAGCCCTCTTTTAAGTCGTTTTTTAGGGATGTTAAAATTAAAAATGCTTTGCATGTTTTACTTTATACCTTAAACAGAGTTCATGAAGGGAACTCTAGCAATGTTAAATAGACGTATTAGATGCACTACCCCAAGTGCACTTAAAACAAACTGTGATATAAATGGCTTGCATATTATTTTTTTTCTTTCTTGATGATTGTTAACTTTTAAAGGCTGGAGGACATTGCACTGCAGCTGCTGGCTCATCACAGCAAAGGTGCCCTGCACAGCTGAGGCATACCAGTGCTTCTCCATGTCCTGACTCTGGTTAGCTGCCTGGAGTTGGGCTCAACTCTTTAACCTCTGTAATGAATGGGATCATTTGAATAGTCATAGGACTCTACCACATATAGAGATGGTTCTTATCCCCATAATCACTGTGTCATACAAATGTTTAGTACCTGATCTTTTCTGTAAGAATTTTTTTCCTGAAATGGAACGCAAATGAAAAAAAGAAAACATTTTATTTACTTACACAGTAGACCCTAAGTAGTTCCATCTGCATTTTAATAGGCTTGTAATTATTGACTTTTTTTTTTCTTTTTACTATTATTTCTTGAGAGTTAAAAATTCTAATAGATCAAGCATTTTGTTCTTTAGCATGTCTCAAGAGTTTTCTCTTCCAGATGTGTGAATAAGAGTACTCATGAATTTAAGCCACAGAGTGGAACAGAGATAAAAGAAGGTAATGTTTAATTAAAATAAATGTGTTTCTGACCAGATTCCTCTAGCTCACTCAGAGGTGTGTTTTGTGGCTGTGGTTTACGAAGGCTTCAGGCCTTAATGAACCTGACTGTTGGATTTCCTATTTTTAGAGTATGAGTTATTTATACCTGAACCATTTCAGATAAATGTAGAAATCCACTTGTTAGTCACATCTTATTAGTTTAGAATTCTTTGGAAACATAATTTGTGAATACATTTCTACTACATTTCTAAGGAAATTAATCCACAACAGTCATCTTTAGTATGTTAGGAAAGGTGATCAAAAGTTTAATTAGATGTGTTACACTATTATTTGGTACTACTTTGTTAGAGGCATTTGCATAGGAGATAAGGTTTATAAATAATAAGACACACATATTGGGCATTCACTTACCCCCTAGGTGACTGGGATATCTTTTCCATGAACAGTTTAGTGAGGAGAAGGGCTGTTTGAAATAGCTGAAGACTCATTAACTGAACCAAGACTTAATGAGTCTGCTCTGTAGGTGCCAGGCACTGTTATACATAGGGATGAAGTCATGAACAAAACATCTCCCCCCACACAGAAGGGGAAAAAAGTGTCCTGTTGGAGTTGTGGGGTTGAAATTTCAGAAAAGGTGATATTTGGGTAAAGGGCTGAAGGGTAAAGCTACCATGCCACTAGCTTGGGCAACCTTTTCAGGCAGAGGGAATATTAAATACTAAGCCCTCAAGCAGGAAAGTCTCTGATATATTCTAAGCGCAGCCAGGAGACCAATATGAGGAGGTTAACAGGGAGAGGAGGAAGATGAGACCTGATCAAACAGGACCCAGGCTGTGCAGGGCCTTGTATTCTATGTCTGACTGCAGTGGAGTGAGATGGGAAGCCAGTCTTAAGATTTACATTGTGACTATGAACTTGGGATACAGTGGCACTAAGGGTATAATTTATGACAAAGTTGCTAATCTGGTACAATCCAGACCAAACACTCAGTCTCTGAACCTTAATTTCCTTTTCTGTAAAGGATAATTTTCACCTTATTTAACTCATAAGACTATTATAAAGATAAAAATGAAATATATGAAAGCACTGTAATACTGGAAGTCCTTAGTGATAATTACTAATGATGACAAACTGGTTTAATTATAATTTACTTAAATTGTGTGCCTTTTAAGTTATTCTGATTTGCCTACTGATACCACATTTTGTCTCCATTTCTTTGCTAGGGTGTGAAACACATAAGGTTGCCAGCACAAGTTCTTTCCACACAACTCCAAACACATCACTGGGAATGGTGCAGGCAACACCATCCAGAGTGCAGCCATCACCCACCGTGCACACAAAAGAAGCATTAGGTAAAGTATTTTATCTGAGTGTGTAGCACCTGTTAACAAGCTAATGAAAGCTCTTTTGCAACCTGTTTACAGTTATTCTTTTGTTCCTTAAGGTTTCATAATGAATATGTTTCAAGCTCCTACACTTCCTGATATTTCTGATGACAAAGACGAATGGCAATCTCTAGATCATAATGAAGATGCATTCGAAGCCCAGTTTCAAAGTAATAACTATTTATTTAAAAGCTACTAAATGTGTAGTATTACAGGTGGTTATCACAGGAAATACCAAGCGTTTTATAAGAGGTGGCCCTGCCTTTGATTAGCTTGTCGCATAAGGGCAGGGAATGCCTGACATGAAAATATGACAGTTCCTGAAAAGGTACTGAATGTGTGTGATAGATTTGCGGATTAAAAAAAAAAAAAAAAAGAAGAAGTAATAGTGCCAAAGAAGGACAAAACCCTCATAGGTAAGAAGGGCCAAGTACTCAAGGTGTGACTTGAGTCTTCACTGGTAGGGGAATGGCTCGGGCAGATTGTTGGAGGAGGCTGGCAGCTAGCCCACGTTTGTCTAGAGTCAGGGGATTCATGCCAGAAGCCAGAGATCATGATAAAGATAAGTAGGAGCCAGTTAGACTCAGGAGGAATTGAAATATAAAACCAAGAGGTTAATTCTTTTGGAAAGGAAGTGGAAAACAAAACCCTGAGAGCTTTTATTGAGTGAGTCAGATGACAATAGCAATGATTTAGGAGAATGATTAACACCTTGCTGATATGTGGCAGGGACTCCTGACCTGGGACTTGAGTACAAGACCCTGTTACCATAGTTAAGTCACTTCATCTCACTATAGTGACTTATCTTATTACCTAGTATTTGAAAAGCTGTTATTAGGTCTTTTCTGTCAGCTGTTACTCCTTTTCCTTATTTGTAGTTGAAGTTTAACATAAAGGATGTTTTTTACTAGTACAATAATTAGATGCTATTTTTTATTCTATTCCAGAAAATGTAAGGTCATCTGGGGCTTGGGGAGTCAATAAGATTATCTCTTCTTTGTCATCTGCTTTTCATGTGTTCGAAGATGGAAACAAAGAAAATTACGGGTAAAAAAATGCCATGTAGTTAATGCGATACTGCAGAATTTTCTCTGAGACTAGAGGTGGTGGGTGGTTAGAGAATGTGGACTGCCACTCATATGGTCAAACGAGCCTTTTGACCACATAACTAGGAGGGTATTGCCAAAGTTCTCCAGATCTGCAGTGCTGCAGGAGTTCCAAGAGAGCAGGCTTCCCATAGCCAAAGCTTGTGTTGAAAAAGGAAAACAGTCTGGTTGTGAATTAGCAGAGAACTGAGGATTCCGTGGATTTGAAATTATATTAGGTGTGAATGAATTCACCACTACAGGTATCCATATATGCTCTGTTTATATTTGCAGCACTGATAAAGTAGAAAAGGAAGTGGCTTATATCGGGTATTGCTACAGAGAATGTGTTTTAAGGCTGAGGAATATTACACTGGAGAGCTTTCATCTGGGGGTTGAGTGAAGTAGCTCCAGGAATTTTCAATGTTAATAGTTTGAACCATCGAAAGAGATGTCAGTGTGAAGTAAAGGTTTTATGGTATTTAAGAAATTCATATTGAGGTAGAAAGGAGAAAGGGCATGGCTAGCTCTCAGAGAGGAATTCCATAGCTATAGAGGCACTGAAAATTTAAAAAATATGTTGGCATCCATGACTTTCCACTGGCCATGGCCATAATTCATTTTTGGCTTCTAAAAGCTATAACTCAGTATGACAGAAATTTCTGTATTTTCCACCCTGACTTAAGGTAGATCTACTTCTATAAGTCAATTCGATCACACTCAGTTTTTCTAGAACTGCTATAAAAGTAAGGAATATTTATATAAATATTAACTTATTAAATAGGATAGAGAACTTTTCTAGTGGTCAAGTGATAGCATGCATTTTTTTTTAGCATATTTTACTATTTATAATTTAGCAAATCTTTCCTTAGATTACCACAGCCTAAAAATAAACCCACAGGAACCAGGACCTTTGGAGAACGCTCTGTCAGCAGACTTTCCTTCAAAACCAAATGTAAGCAAACCTGTTTCATCTATGAAATGGGTCCTACAACCCCTTCTGCTTTATTCTACCAAGTGATTATGCCAGTCAGAGGATATCGTATATATGAAACTATGCTGAAAAATATGATACCATATGAAGAATATGTTTCTTTTAGGACACTATTTAATAATTGAAGAAGAAATGCATATTTTCTAAGTGTCCTGCCAAAATTATTTATTAATATTAATTACCGTGGTGGTTTAACATTTATCCACAAATTCTTTGAATGTTTTCCTCCAGTTTGGTGCATCTCCTTTTGAGTGTAGCTAGATTATGTGACTTGCTTCAGACAAAAAGCGTAGGGAAAAGGAAAGGGAAAAATAGATTGCAGTAGGGAAGCATGGCAGATTCTGTCTAACCAAATGCTTGGGTTAACCAGAAGTAAATCATGTTGACAGCAGATGTCCCCCTAATAAGATGTAATGTGAAGAACACTTCACCCCTGATATCCTTCCCAAAAATCTGTAACCCCAGTGTCATCATGAGAAAATGTCAAAGAAGCCCAAACTGTGTAGGGGCATTCTACGCAGTTTCTGATTAGTGTTTGAAAGTGTCAATATAAGAAAGGCTGGGAAAGACTAATAGACAATGACAGACTCAAGAAACCTAAGAACACTTGACAACTAAAGGTGACATGAGATCCTGGATTGGATTCCTGAACGGAAGAGGCCCATTAGTGGGAAAAAAGGTGAACTTTTAATAGTGTATAGTTAATAGTATTGTTTCATTTTTACAAATGTGCTATGGTTCTATAAGAAGTTGACATTAGAGGAAGCTTAGTGAGGAGGGTATGTGGAAATTCTGTGCTATCTTTATAACTCTTTAAATCTTGACTTTTTCAAATTATATATATATATATATATATATATATATATATACACATACATACATACATATACACACACACACATACTTTGAAAACAAAAATGTGGCTCTTGCTGCAATGCAGCTCCACTGATTTTTCAGTTCTGGGAAGAAGAACTGAACCATGATATTGTGGACTGTGTTAGCCAGGGGCTGACATCTGCTTTTGTCTTTAATTTCTCATTTCTTTGGATCTTAAAGTGTTAATGAGTAAGGTTTCATGGACAAAAGAGGGAGATTGCTGCTTTTTTTTTCATTTCATCTTCTGTTCTAGGAAGTTCCTCACGCTGAAGAGTTTTTGGATGATTCAACCGTATGGGGTATTCGCTGCAACAAAACCCTAGCACCCAGTCCTAAGAGCCCAGGAGACTTCACATCTGCCGCCCAACTTGCATCTACACCATTCCATAAACTTCCAGTGGAGTCAGTGCTCATTTTAGAAGATAAAGGTGTGTGTTACAGTTTTACTGTTTGTCTTCTGCCAACTTTGATTCTTTCAGTTTTCTTCATGAAGTTTGATTCTTTCAGTTTTCTTCATGAAAATTCTGCATGCAAACTTTGAAAATCATGGAGAAGAAACAAAATCTGTTCATTGTATTTTTGCTCATAGGTTTTTTTCCGTTGGCATAGTGTCTTCCTGAAGTCTATGTATTTTTAAAATATAATAGCTTAGATTATAGGTAGAAGGGAGAAAATCTATAGAAGCATTTAAAAGCGAGTAAGGTCCAACCTATTTGTATAGAGTATGTTTATTTTGTTTCACAGCAAACAAAAATGCCACTACAGACAATTTAAATTATTTGAATGCTAAAAATAATGAACATTTATATTTTCCAATTTAATAAGAGTAATAGCCAATTTTAGACCTAGATGTGTGTCTACACACATATATATGTCAACTTTCTTAGACATATAGCCAAGTACGATACTCAGAAAGTCTTATTTTTCTTACTTGCAGTGCTCTGACTTAAGAAAGTAATGATAAAACTCACAAGTAGTCCTTATTTCTAGCCTGTTTCAAATTTATCACCCTATGTATTTAAAAGTTCATCATATATCTGAATTGAATCCTAATACATGACATTGTCATGGAGCACAGATATTGCTAGCTATTAAGTACCAACTACAAACTAGACAGTTCTCTCGGTATCCACAGAGGATTGGTTCCAGGAAACCCTGTAAATACCAAAGTCCATGTGGATGCTCAAATTCCATAGTTGACCCTGCAGAACTTGTGGATATGGAACCTGTGGATGCAGAGGGCTGACTATATACTAACTGTACTATTGATCACACTTTTAAAATATAGCAATTGTTTACCAAAACAATAGAAGAGCTGCCAAAGAGTTTCACTTCACTGAATGGAAGCGTATTTTAATGTGGGTTCTGAGCCTATAGACCTAAACATTTTTGACCAAGGATTTCTTAGAGTGCTAATCCAATATAATACATTTCTTTTCTGAATCTTAAAGGAGAGTTCTGTTGAAACTTGGACTATTGCCAAGCACCATCGTAAGTTTGCCACTTAAAAAAAAAAAATGTTTAAACCTTTTCCATCCAGGAAAGCTAGTTTAATTAGTCCAAAGAGTCTTTCAAAAAGTTGATATTGGCTATTCTTACAGTGTTTGCCGCTTTGGCTCTATAAACAGAAACTAATGTTCCAGTGCTAAAAAGTAGTAACACCTGTTCAGTGAAGGAATATCTCATAAAATGTAATCCAACATATTGGTTGTGTGCAGCATTAGCATCACTTGGAAGAGGTTTATTCTGCATTTCTACTCTACCTAGTTTATCTATCTATCTATAGATAATTTTTTTTTAATTATAGAGAGTAATATATATTGCCAGGTTGCTTTCTGATTTAAACACAAAATTGTTTCAATAAATTAAATGCTAATTTAGTCAATCAACTAATTGACCAAAACATCTTAAAGTGAAAGACACAAAATCTCTGCCCTCCAGAAGCATTGTAGCCTTTTACTCTCCATGTGCTTGTCTTCAGGTTCTCCTGAAGCTGAGTATAGCTCTGAAATCCATACCAGTAACCTCCTGTGGTCTGGTCATCCTGCCTACAATGAACTTGCCACTCTCTGGACCCTTTTTTTCTTGAAGGATTGTTAGGGATTAGATGTAGAGTAGAAATGCTCACATACATTAGTAGTAGATTTTATTCGTTTGTTTTTAAGAGTTAGGGTCGTGCTATGTTGCCTAGGCTGACTGCAGTTCACCCTCAAACTCCTGGGCTCAAGTGATCCTCCCGCCTCAGCTTCTGAAGTAGCTAGGGCTGCAGGATCCTGCCACCACATCCAGGTAATTTAAAAAAATTTTTTTAGAGATAGGGTCTCACTATGTTTCTCAGGCTTGCCTTGAACCACTGGCCTCAAGTGATTCTCCCACCTCGGCTTCCCAAAGCACTGGAGTTATAGGCAAGAGCCACTGTGCCTGGCCACTAGTAGATTTTTAAGTAATTTTTTTTCTTCGTAGTTTTTGAATCTTAATATACGTTTTACCATGGAACACTATTTTGAAATCATAATGCAAGTCATTGTCAAAATAAATCCTAGACTTTGTAACCATATCAAATGGTGTGTGTTGTGCACACACGTGCATCTAACATACCTGTCTCTGATTTTTGGAAATTTCAGAAAATGTGGCAGCAAAACAGTGCACCCATGTGACTTTGGATTCTTGTGAAGAAAACATGGTGGTACCTTCAAGGGATAGAAAATTCAGGTATTGTGAGGGTTCATGTGGTTCTGTCATTTTCTTCATCTTCCATTCTAACTTTGCTTACCATTTCCATTCTAGCTTTGCCTTTTATGCAGTAATAGAATACTAATTTTAGTATTAAAGGCCAATAAAGATTTTATGGACTAGTAGGTTTAAATCAGAAGGTAGTCTCTATGAATATACATACAACAGTGAATCTAAACACTTGATATATCAGGCCAATTCTTTATGAGAAAACATCAGAGAAACCCAAATTGAAGGACATTCTCCAGAACACCTGACCAGTACTCCTCAAAATTGTCAAGGTCTTGAGAAACTATGAAAGACTAAAACTGTCATAGATGAGAGAGGAGTAAGGAGACATGACAACTAAATGCATCCTGGTACCCTGGACTGGATCCTGAAGCAGAAGTTCCTGAGTGAAAAGAGTGGTGAAATTCAAGTGACATCTACAGTTAATAGTAATAGAAAAAATGTTGGTTTATGAGTTTTGACAGAGGTACCATTGTAATAGAAAATGATACCATTAGCAGAAATTGAGTGAGGCAAATACGGGAATTCTCTATTATCTTTGCAACATTTCTTTACACCTAAAATTATTACCAAAAAAGTATAGTTGAAAAAAGTTTACAACAGGAAAAATGTGACAAGTGAAAATAGCAGTATATGAAATTGTGTGTATAAATTTATTTGTATAAAAATACATACTTCAGTATGTATAGGTAGATACTGATTTGGGGGTGTGTGTGAAGATAAATGCACAGTCAGTTCTCATTATTCACTGTAATTCTGTTCTGTAGACTCACCATGAACACTGAATTAGTGAATACTGAATATTCTTAAAGGGGAGTACAGACAGCATCCTTCAAGCCTCTCATAACAACATTTTGTTGAAAAACACCTTATTTATTATATATTGTTGATTCATTAACATTGAATTCATGTCCAGCAACACTGACTCACATATAAATAAAACTTATCTAATACACACATTTTTACAGATTTCTACTGCTTAGGAACATTAGAGAGCACTTCAGCACTATTCTTTGGGACCATTTTAAATACCAAAGTCATCAAGAAAAAGCACAAAGATACAAAAAATGTGGAACCAATTACACCTCGAAAAGGATACTTGTTTACAGCATGAAAGCTGGAACAGGAAGGCTGAGTGTCACCTTGTTCAACCTTAGCTAAGAACATGTATGTTGGGTGGCTCAATTTTTCATCACCCTGCATATCTGCACATGACTGAAAAGTCACTATGAGTATTGATTTTAAGCTTACAAATAAATTTTAGCATACAGGTGAATTCACAAATTTGAAATCCATGAATAGTGATTAGCTGTGTATTGTGTGTGTGTTTATGTGTATGTATACATATACTTCGATTTACAGTCATGCAGTTTCTTAACAACTGGGATACAGTCTGAGAAATGTGTCCTCAGGCAATTTCAGTGTTATGTGAATATCAGAGTGTACTTACATAAATTTATATGGGTTGATTAGTTTACTACAGACCTAGGCTATATGGTATAACCTGTGGCTCATAGGCTACAAACATGTATGACATGTTACTGTATTGAATATTGTAGGCAGTGGCAACAGAATGGTGTAAGTGTTTGTGTATCTAAACATAGAGATACAGTAAAAATACAGTGTGAAAGATAAAAAATGGTATTCTGTATAGGGCACTCCCCATAAATGGAACTTGCAGGACTAAAGTTGCTCTGGATGAGTCAGTGAGTGAGTGGTGAGTGAATGTGAGGGCCTAGGACATTACTGTACACTACTGTAGACTTTAGAAACACTATAGTTAGGCTACACTAAATTTATTTTAAAAGTATTTTTATTTCTTCAATAATAAATTAGCCTTAGCTTACTGTGACTTTTTTACTTTATAAACTTAAAAAAGTTTATCTTTTTGACTGTACTAATACTTAGCTTAAAAAACACATTGTACAGCTATACAAAAATATTCTTTCTTTTTATCATTCTATAAGCTTTAAAAAAATTTTTTTTCCCACATTTCAAACTTTTTTGTTAAAAACAACCACACAAGCATACACATTAGCCAAGGCCTACAGACCTCGGTCAGGAATGTCAGGCATCATTAGGAGACCAGAGGGTTTCAGCTCCATTATGATCCTATGGGACCACCATTGCATATGCTGTTTTCATTGTCTGAATTGTTGTTATGCAGCACATGACTGTATATATGGAAATGTTCTGTAGTGTTGTGTTGTGATTGGCATTTTCTGTTTGTTTCAATGTTATAAAAGGACCCATTTTTGGAATAAAGTTATATATTCAGTCTTGATTACAGTAGTGTTGCATAGATGCAGCTTGAAGAAATAAACCCATTCCTGACACTTTGTACTAAAGAGTACCCCATGTATTGTCTCACCTATTCATCTAGTATAACCATATCTTGATTTTCTTATTTCTGTTCATATTGTACTAGCTGTATATTTTCATAGATTTGTTTGTCTAAAAATTCTTTAATCAACTTTTAGTCTGTGAAGCTATTCTGAAATGTCATTTCTAGAATAAGAAGGAACTTTTATGTGACTGAATCCAACATACTTCTAATCATGTGATGTTTTGGTTTTTTTATTCCTTTCACACGTCCAGTCCAATTCAAGAGAAAAACCCAGAACAGACCTTCTCCTCTGATGTGTATTCAGCATCCTTACACCATCTGAGCCAGCCTGCTGCAGGTGGGATACTTACCTGTGAGGCAGAGCGAGGCCTTGAGGCTTGCAGACTCACAGACACTGACGCTGTCATTGCAGGAGATCCACCAGATGCTACTGCTGGGCTCCAAGCAGAACGGATGCAGATGAGTTCACTTCAGAAGGTTGATGCTCCAAGTATGAACACTCACTCTTTGTTATGTCCTTGAATCAGGACAGTAGCATGGGAAAAGCTGTCCCATGAAAGAAACCCACAGTGGGACTTGAATGTCATTGAATAGAACAGATGTCATTGGGTTCAGGCAAAACTTGCGTAATGCATCACAATGAAGTATAACTAGCATATTTGAAGGGCAAATTAATCTATTTTAATTTTAGAAGGTATCAAAATACTGTTGGAAGAGGGAATTAGAATTTGACGGCCTACTGTGTGCCAGGCATTTAATCTAATATTATTATATCCCCTATTTTACAGAAAAGTAAACTGAGGCTCAAGGTTAAAGAGACAACATTTCCCCCCCCACCCCCCTGTTATACATAAACAGTCTGGCATAGTGGTTAAGGGCACAGACTCTGGAGATGGACTGACTACGTTCTATCTTGGCTCCCTCACCTAAGTAGTCACGTGGTGTTGACCAAGATCATTTTAATTTTCCCTACCCCTCTTTAATGTAGAGTGGAGCTGATGCTAGTACCTATCTTTAGAGGCTTATTGTAAGAACCAAGTAAATTAATAAACTCCTGAGAACAGTGTCCTGCAAGTGCTTAGCACTGAGTGTTAAGCATGTTGGATTTGTATTTGATAACTGCCACCAATATTTTTTGTAACATTCTAGGTTGGAGAGAAACCTTTTTCTTACTTCTAGAAATTATTTCCCTTTTGTGGACCCAAAGTATATCTCATATATGCAAATTGCACATAGGTAATATAAGTTTTATGGATATAAGTGGAAAAGCAATTAAAGAATATATGTCTATCTGAGCAAATTGTAAGTAACTAATGTCCACATCTGACCTTAAGACGTATATCCCTAATTGTGTTTAAGACGGAATGTAGCTATTCCATTTGAGTGGAGCAGATGTACTTGGAGTTGATTTCCTTTGTCACAATTGAATATTGATCCAAATTTGTAACTAAAATGGCAAATAATCAACTGTGCAGAGCTACCAATTTTGACTTTTAAAAATAGTTCTTTTTTATTTTGAATCAATGCCCTTAGAAGTATAAGGCTTTGAAAGCTTGTTTAGTAAATATATCCATTCACTTTGTCTATAATTTATTTGGTAAAGTTCTTGAGTACTCAATTCATGTTCCTTTTTTGTTTTTGTTCTCATTCCTTTAAGACTTCATTGTTGAGAACCCATGGGATGATCAGCTGATTTTCAAACTTTTATCTGGGCTTTCTAAACCAGTGAGTTCCTATCCAAATGTTTTTGAATGGCAATGTAAACTTCCAGCCATCAAGCCCAAGACTGAATTTCAATTGGGTAAGAATTATTTGGATAATATAACTTTAAATTCTTGTTTCTCTATGAGAAGTTGATGGTAACTTGTGTGAGAGAGATTCTCCTATTTGCACCACCCCCTCCCCGCCACCCACCTCCAATAGCGAGTTGTATCTATAGTATTAAACTGAACATTTTGTTAGGCCATGATTGTAGGATTGTGATTGCTGTTGGTACTATAACTCCTATAACTCAGAGAGCAATTTGCAAATATGTATTAAAATTAAAAATGCATGTGCTTTTAAACCCAGCTATTTACTTTTAAGGATTTCGTATAGATACTGTTATATACCTCTACAGTAAAATAGTATAGTAACATTAGCAACGGAACAAGAAAGCTCACTCTGTGCTGATAGAGAATGAGCTCCAAAAGATACCGTACTGTTAAATGAAAAGGGCAGAGTCGTATGTATTATATGCCACGATTAAAACGGTTAGCTGTAGGTGGGAGTGGGAAACAATGGGAGCAAGATTTCGCAATATTCCCTTTTAAGTTTTTTTAATGAATAGACTATTTTTAAGAGAAGTTTTAAGCTTAACAGAAAAATTCAGCATAAAGTACATATTCCTACCTCCCCATATATATACACACAGATTTCCATGTTATTAGCATCTTGCGTGAGTGTGGTACATTTGTTAAAATTCAGCCAATATTGAGACATTATTAACTGAAGTGCTAGTTTACATTAGGGTTCACTCTTTGGGTTGTATATTCAATGGGGTTTGACGAATGTATTACAATGACATGTATCCATCATTACGGAATTATACAGAATAGTTTCCTCACCCTAAAAATCCCCTCTACCTCACCTATTCATCCCTTCCTCCTTGTCCCCCAACCCCTGGAAACTACTGGTTGTTTTACTGTGTCTCTAGTTTTGCCTTTTCTGTAATGTCATATAGTTGGAGTCATATAGTATGTGGCCTTTTCAATTGACGTCTTTTACTTAGCAATATGCACCTAAGGTTTCTCTATGTCATGTTGTGATTTGATAGCTTTTTTTTAAAAAAAAAGTCACTGAATAATGTTTATTGCATGAATGTACCACACAGTTTAACCTTTCCACTCATCTAATGAGGGAGATCTTGGTTACTTCCAAGTTTTGGCGATTATGAATAAAGTTGCTGTAAACATCTGTATGCAAGTTTTTGTGTGGACGTAAGTTTTCAACTCATAATTTGGGTAAATACCAAGGAGTATAATGGTAGGGTAATATGATGAGAGTATGTTTACTTTTGTAAGAAACTTTCAAAGTGGCTGTACCATTTAGCCTTCCCACCAATAGTGAATGAGTCCTGTTCCCCAGTCTTGCCCTTATTAGGTGGTTGTAAGTATTTTAGGTTTTAGCCATTCTAGTAGGTGAATAGTGGTATCTCAATATTTTTTAAGTTTAAATTCCCTGAAGACATAAGGCATTGAATATTTTTTCATATGCTTATTTGCCATCAGTATATATTCTTCATGAGATGTCTCTAGATCTTTTGTCTGTTTTTTAATTGGTTAGTTGGTTTCTTATCGTTGCCTTATTCCTGATCTTAGGGGAAAAGCATCTACATAGTTTGTTACCTGTAAGTATGATTTTTAGCTGTGGGTTTTTCATACGTGTTCTTTGTCAAGTTAAAAAAGTATTTTTCTATTTCTGGTTTGCTGAGAGGTTTTTTTGTTTTGTTTTGTTTTTTTTAATTATAAATGGTTTTTGGATTTTATCTTGCTCCTTTCAATATTCTCTGCATTTATTGATTTGATCATATGATCCTTTTTCATTGATGTGATGGATTTCATTAATTGATTTTCAAATGTTGAACAAGCCTTGTATACCTGGGATAAATTACCCTTGGTTGTTGTAGTGTATAATTCTTTTTATACATTGTTGGATTGGATTTACTAATATTTTATTGAAGATCTTTGTATCTATGTTCATGAGAGGTACTGGTCTATAGTATTCTTTTCTTGTAATATCTTTATTTTGTCTTGGTGTCAGGGAAATGCTAGCCTCTTAGAATGAGATCAGAAGTATTCCCTCTGCTTCTTTCATCTGGAGGAGATTGTAGAGAATTGGCAATAATTTTCTTCCTTAAAGATTTGATAGAATTTGCTAGTGAACCCATCCGAGCCTACTGCTTCCCGTTTTGCAAGGTTATCAACTACCGATTCCTTCTTTAACAGATATAGACTATTCAGATTATCAATATCTCCTTTGTGAGCTTTGGTAGATTGTATCTTTCAAGGAATTTGTTCATTTCATCTAAATTCTCATTTGTGGATATGGCATTCCACTGTTGATTTCTACTGTAATGTTTACTATTTCTTTTATTTTGCTTACTTTAGATTTAATTTGCTCTTCTAGTTTCTTAAGGTAGAATCTTAAATTATTGATTTTAGATATTCTTTTCTAATATATGTATTTAGTGCTACAAATTTTCTTCTACATCCCACAAATTTTGGTAAATTATATTTGCATTTTCATTTGGTTCAAAATATTTTTAAATTTCTATTGAGACTTCTTTGACCAATGTAGTATTCAGAAGTATGTTTAATCTCCAAGTATTTGGGGGACTTTACAACTACCTTTCATACTGTATATGATTTCTGTTCTTTTAAATTTGGTTAAATGTGTTTTATTGCCCAGAATGTTGTCTATCTTAGTTAATATTCCATGTGAGCTTGAGGATAATGCGTATTCTACTGTTATTACATCAAGTATTCCATAAATGTCAATTAGATCTAATTGATTGATGCTACTATTCAGTTCAACCATGTTTTTACTGATGATTTTCTGCGTGCTTTATCTGTCCATTTCTTTCTTTCTTTTAATTAATTAATTTATTTTTGAAACAGGGTATCACCCTGTCATCTAGACCAGTGCAGTGGCACAGTCCTGGCTCACTGCAACCTCAAACTCTTGGACTCAAGCAGTTGTCTGGCCCCAGCTTCCTGAGTAGTTAGGACTACAGTCACGTACCACAACATGCAGCTAATTTTTTTTTCTTTTTTTGGTGGAGATGGGGTTCTTGCTATGTTGCCCAGGTATTGAACTCCTGACTTCAATCAGTCTTTCTCTCTTGGCCTCCCAAAGTGCTGGGATTACATTTGTGAGCCACCACATCCAGCTTATCTGTCCATTTCTTATGTAAGTCTCCAACTATAATAGTGAATTCATCTTTTTCTCCTTGCAGTTCTGGTAGTTTTTGGTAACTTTTGACTCATATTTTGACACTTTCTTGTTAGGCTTATACATGTTATGTCCTCTTGGAGAATTGATTCCTTTAACATTGTATAATGCTGGTGAGCCACAGTGACTCACAACTGTAATCTAGCACTTTGGGAGGCCAAGACAGTAGGATCAGCTGAGGCCAGGAGTTTTGAGGCAAGTCTGGGCAATGCAGTGAGGCCTTGTCTCTACAATAATTTTTTAAAAAAATTAACCAGGCATGGTGGCACGTGTCCCAGCTACTTGGGAGGCTGAGGCTGAGGCTGGAGGATCACTTGAGCCCAGGAGTTCAGACTAGCCAGGCAACATAGCAAGACTTCTGTCTTAAAATATATATATATATATCAGGCAACATAGCAAGACTTTTGTCTTAAAAAACAAAACAAAAAACAAAAAAAACTATATCGCCCAGGCTGGAGTGCAGTGGCATGATCTTGGCTCACTGTAATCTCTGCCTCCCGGATTCAAGTGATTCTCTTGTCTCAGCCTCCCGAGTAGCTGGGACTACAGGTACCCACCACCATGCCTAGCTAATTTTTGTATTTTTAGTAGACACGGGGTTTCACCATATTGGTCAGGCTGGTCTCAAACTCCTGATCTCAGGTGATCCACCTGCCTCAGCGTCCCAAAGTGCTGGGATTATAGGTGTGAGCCACTGCACCCGGCCTTATCCCTTTACTTTTAATCTCTCTTTCTTGGTATTTAAAGCATGTCTTTTCATTGGTCTATTTAGACTATTGATGTTTAAAGTGACTTTGGGTATAATTGGATTGTCACTATATACTGTTTTTTATTCCTTGTCCTTGTTCTTTGTTTCTTTTTTGTCTTCTATTCTCTTTCTGCCTTCTGTGATTTTGAGTTATTTCATGATTCCATTTTGTCTTATCTCTTAGCATATTAATTATACTTCTTTTTTAATGTTCTTAAGTGGTTAGCCTAGTGTTTGCAATATACATCACAGCTAATCTTTTTTGTTTGTGTAAGAAAGTTTTTATTCTTTACATTTGAAGGATAATTTTACTGGATACAGAATTCTAGATTGGTATATTCTAAATATCCAAGTACTTTAGAGATTTCACTCCACTCTCTTCTCGCTTACATGGTTTCTGAGAAGTCTTGTGTAATTCTTATCTTTGCTCCTCTGTAGGTAAGATGATTTTATTTATCTTGCTTTTTTTCAATATTTTCTCTGTGTCTTTTTCTGCAGTTTCAATGTAACCTACCTAGGTGTTTATTCTTCAGTATTTATTCTGTTTGGTGCTCTCTGAGCTTCCTGGATATGTGGTTTGGCATCTATCATTAATTCTGGAAAAATCTCAACTATTACTACTTCAGTTTTTTTTCTGTTTGTTCTGTTTTTTGAGATGGAATTCCACTCTTATTGCCCAGGCTGGAATGCAGTGACATGATCTTGGCTCACTACAACCTCCGCCTCCCGGGTTCAAGCAGTTCTCCTGCCTCAGCCTCCCAAATAGCTGGGATTACAAGCACCTGCCACCACACCTGCCTAATTTTTGTATTTTTAGTAGCGATGGAGTTTCGCCATGTTGGTCAGGATGGTCTCAAACTCCTGACCTCAAGTAATCCGCCCACCACGGCCTCCCAAAGTGCTGGGATTACAGGTGTGAGCCACTGCAGCTGGCCTCAAATATTTTCATCTGTTTCGTGTTCCTTTCTCCCTTCTTCCTTCTGGTATTCCCATTCTGTATCTGTTATACATTTTGTAGTTGTCCCACACTCCATACTGTCTTTCTTTCTTTCTTTTTTTTTTGGTTTGCATTTCAGTTTTGGAAGTTTGTATTGTCATATCTTCAAGCTCACTGATTCTTTCCCCTGCCCTGTATAGTCTATTGGTGAGTCAATCAAAGGCATCCTTTATTTCTATTACAGTGGGTTTTTATCTCTAGCACTTCCTTTTGCTTGTTTCTCAGTTTCTATCTCTCTGCCTCCATTACCCATTTCTTCTTGCACACTGTCTACTTTTTTCATTAGAGCCCTTAGCATGCCAATTAGAATTTAAAAAGAAATTCTAGGGTGGGCAGGGCATGGTAGGTCATTCCTATAATTTCAGTACTTTGGGATGCTGAGAGAGAACAATTGCTTGAGGCCAGGAGTTCAAGATTAGCCTGGGTAACACAGCGAAACTCTGTCTCTGCAAAAAATTAATGGTGTGCACCTATAGTCCTAGCTACTTGGGAGGCTGAGGCAGAAAGATCACTTGAGCCCAGGAGTTTGAGGGTGTAGTCAGCTATAATTATGCCACTACACTCTAGCCTTGGTGACAGAGTAAGAACCTATCTCTAAAAACACAACAACATTCTAGTCTGGTAATTCTAAAATTTCTGCCATATGTGTGTGTTTCTGATGCTTACTCTGGTTCTTCAGGCTGTGAGTTTTGTTTTTCACTATGCCTTGTAATTTTTTATTAAGAGCCAGACCTAATGTATAAGCTAAAAAGAACTGAGGTTAAATAGACATTTAGTGTGAGCTTTCATTGCTTAATCTGCCTACGGGTTAGGCTATGCTTACTGTTTGCTGTTACTGTATCAGAGGCTGAAATTGCCCTTTGTGTCCTTATTTTTGTTTCCCTTGTTGTCTTTGGGTTTCCCTAGGGACTTCTTAAATAAGGTCTGAGATGTGCAATTCTTTCCATTTAACTCCCCCAGTATTGGATCCAGCAGTGGTTTCTGTTCCTGGGCTTCTACTTTGGCAAGCTGTGATTCTCTGTCTCCACCTGTCGCCCTCCCCAATTTTGGGGGAAGCAGATTGTCCTTTCACCTCAGTTCTCTAATGGATCTCAGAAATGTTGCTGATTTTTAGTTATTCGGCTTACTATGAGAATGGAGTGATGACTCCAGTTCCTTATATGCTGGGCCAGGAACCAGAAATCTACTTCTTTACATCTGATTTTCAACATGTGAATTCTTTTTTAAAATTTAATTTAAAAATCTGCTACTACAGTCCAGGTGTACTGGCTCACTCCTGTAATCCCAACACTTTGGGAAGACAAGGCAGGCGGATCACTTGAAGCCAGGAGTTTGAGATGAGCCTGGGAAACATGGCGAGACCTCATCTCTACAAAAAATTTAAGAATTAGCTGGACATGGTGGTGTTTGCCTGTGGTCCTGGCTTCTTGGGAGCCTGAGGTGGGAGGATCACTTGTGCCAGGAGGTCAAAGCTGCAGTGAGCTATTACCTTGCCATTGTAATCCAGCCTGGGCAACAGCAAGACTCTGTCTCTAAAGAACAAACAAAAAACTACTACAACTTCACCTCTGTGGGCTTTCCCCCAAAATCTGATAACTCCAAAGTAACCACAAGAGAAATATCAAACAAACCCAATTTGAGGGCCATTCTACAACAAACCTGACTGGTACTTTTTGGAACTGTCATCAAAAAACAAGGATCATCTGAGAAACTGTCACAGCCCAGAAAAGGCTAAGTGGACATGATGACTAAACATGACGTGTTCTAGAACATAGGCAAAAACTAGTGAAATGTGAGTAAAATGTAGAGTTTAGTTAATAGGAGCATAATACTTTGGTAGATCAGTTCTTTATTTGTGGCAAATATACCATGGTTATGTAAGAGTTTACAATTGCAGACAGTGGATGCAAAATATATAGAAAACTCTATCTCTGTAACTTCTCTGTAAATTGAAAACTATTTAAAAGGCTTACATACATTAAAATTTTCATTTATCTTCTAAGGTTCTAAGCTGATCTATGTCCATCACCTTCTTGGAGAAGGAGCCTTTGCCCAGGTGTACGAAGCTACCCAGGGAGAGGTGAATGATGCTAAAAATAAACAGAAATTTGTTTTAAAGGTAAATGACCTGAGTTGTTTTTTGTGGTGTAGAAATGGATTTTATAACTTGAGTTTGCCAATCACTTTTTTTCCTTTAAGATAGTGATTTCATTTATGTCTGTGGTTGGCAATTAAAAGACAAAAACTACAAAAGATTCAGAATTTTTTTCCCACTAAAATTGTCTTGCAGCAAGCCCCACATTGCAACAACAGTTCATAGCTTGTCATCACTGTGAACACCACATCTTTATTGGGATAGAGGTTGTTTTATTGCTATCACTTTTCAGAATGTGAGAATGGATATGAATTTCACATACCTGATTTGCAGGTCCAGAAGCCCGCTAACCCCTGGGAATTCTACATTGGGACTCAGCTGATGGAGAGACTAAAGCCAACTATGCAACACATGTTTATCAAGTTCTATTCCGCCCACTTATTCCAGAATGGCAGTGTATTAGTAGGAGAGCTCTACAGCTATGGAACATTATTAGTAAGTATTCATTTTCATGATGAGCACATAAATTTGAAATGCATTATTTGGCTTGTACCTTGCACATGATTTTGTGGTTGGGGCTTTTGTGAAGTGGTGGGAGGGGCAAAGCTCTCAACTTGAAATTTTATTAATCTTGTACAACTAACTAAGGCTTCTACTTTCCATTATTCCTAGAATGCCATTAACCTCTATAAAAATACTCCTGAAAAAGTGATGCCTCAAGGTCTCGTCATCTCTTTTGCTATGAGAATGCTTTACATGATTGAGCAAGTGCATGACTGTGAAATCATTCATGGAGACATTAAGCCAGACAATTTCATACTTGGAAACGGGCAAGTGTTATGCTTTTAACAGGGTTCTTCTCTTCCTATTTCCATAGCAGCCTTTTAACATATGTGCTCATGCAGCCTGGCTTTGTTTGTGTTTAATGTAGATTTTTGGAACAGGATGATGAAGATGATTTATCTGTTGGCTTGGCACTGATTGACCTGGGTCAGAGTATAGATATGAAACTTTTTCCAAAAGGAACTAAATTCACAGCAAAATGTAACACATCTGGTTTTCAGTGTGTTGAGATGCTCAGCAACAAACCGTGGAACTACCAGGTATAGAACTAAAGTGAGGGATTTGGAAATATTTTTCTTTGTTGTGCTTATCAGATTTTCAAAATGAATTTGGGGATCTAGGTAGTTTGAGGTCTCTTGAGGAGCAGTTGAAGGAGAGATGAGGCTAAGACAAATGTGGCGGGATAGAATTCTCTTCCCGAAGAATACTCTACTTTCTTATTAGTCCATTATAGATCCTGTTATCAGGAAAGGGAAACCGATGTATTCTCTGAGTTTGATCATAAGGAAGAGCATTTAATGATTTGTGAACCCTTCAGAAAGGAAGTCATGCAGCAAAGAGACAGCTTGGTTTATTGAGATCAAATCAGGCCAGCTTGGTTTCCTAAATCAGGGATAACAGGGAGACCCAGCATGCCCACTTCAGGCAGAGTTGAGCGCGTGTTGGATACACCTGGAATGCTCTCAGGCAGGATGGTGGGTTTGACTGTAATAGATGGTACAGCCAGATTTCCAGCTAGCCAGATCCAGAAATGAACCATTATTCTAAAGGAAGATTACAGAATTTTTAACCAACTAGATAGAATATTAGATGACCAGGAAGGAGAATGCTACTTGGGATAAATAAAAAGTTTTGAACCTGGGTTAACAAAACCAACCGCCAAGTTCTCTGGTGAGAACTATGTCTTTTCAGGAACCCATGGTAAAGGGGGCCAAAATTGGTGGGGGGGTCTCATTTCTTCTGTCTTGTGGATGTGGGTGGGGCTGGAGTGTTCTTTTCAGTTATGAACATACCACACAGCAAGAGGGCATGGGGGCGAGTCAGAGAACTACAACCAGAGTCCCAGGGGAGTGAGCTGGGAGGACTTCTAGGCTATCCATGGGGAAGAGGGCTGAGAGTGTTGTGTTTGCCCCCTGTGTGACAGAATGAAGGACTTGAGAAGGACATGGTAGCTCAGGAGGGCAGAGTTTTCCAAAACTACCTCAGGAGATAGAGGGTAGTCTGCTCTCTGTGGAAGCCTCCAGCAAAGCCTAGATGTTCAGTAGGACATGTTAGTGGAGTGGTTGAACAAATGGCTTCCAAAGTGGTTTAAAAGTAAAATCCTGTGAATATTTAGCTTGCTACTTAGACATCTTAATATAATTCATGTGTAAGTTACTATTTAAGTCATATGTACATCTATCTTTATAGATCGATTACTTTGGGGTTGCTGCAACAGTATATTGCATGCTCTTCGGCACTTACATGAAAGTGAAAAATGAAGGAGGAGTGTGGAAGCCTGAAGGTCTTTTTAGAAGGTGAGTATTAACATTGGTGCTATAGTGAAAAGATAATAACTATAGTAGAATGTTGGTTTCCATCTGGGGGAAAAAAAAAAAAAAGGATCTCTGCCACTGCATGGAAATCCTGTGCTGTCAGGACAGTTCTGGGCACTGGGCACAGGGAGCAAGCTGCATAGCTTTACCACTTCTGTCTCCCCATTGGGGCAGCTGATGCCCTCACTGAAAGCTCCTGGCCAAATGGTTGACATCCTGTACACATGCAAAGTTTCTACTCCTTGTAGAGGAATCACCTAATACCACCAGCCCTCAGGTTTTCACTTTTTTTTTTTTTTTTTTTTTTGGTCTTCGGAAATACTGATCCTACTTTTCTCAGATATTTGTAAGAAGCAAAGGAAATAGTGTATGTGAAAGTGCTTCATAAATTATAAAGTAATGTGATGGGTAGCTCTCATTCACAGGACAGGGTTTTAGGTCCCAGCTCTGTGTGACTTGAGTTTCTCAAATATTGTTTTTTTGTCTGTAAATCACAGTGAAAATTCATGATTAGCCAAGAGCTCTTCCTGTCAACCTGGATGGCTCTCCTAACACAATGTGTGAACAAACTGTTGGAATAAGCTGTTTTGTTTAAGCTGAGTATTTGGTGCCTGAATATTCATTGTATCACTTGTACTTTCTTTTTTGAAGCATAAAACATGCAGAAAAGTACACTCATTGTAAGTTTTTAGTCTAATGGACTTTTACATATGTTTATACCTTCTTGAGAAAAATGCTAAGATGGGGTTCCTATAAACCTCATCTCCCCCAGCCCCCTCAAAAAAAAAGAAAAATAGCAATAATTTTATGAAATGTCATATGCCGTACATAAGTAAAGTTAGTCCAGGCCCTAGAGGAAAGCTTTTAACAACTATTCTTTATTTTGGAAAACGAGCCCTCATGTTTAGCCAATACTTTATTCCATCTTTGGCTCAAAATTGAAGAACCAGATAGTTTCATCTCTATCAGTGTGAAGAAGAGCCGGAAGTTAACCCTCAGCAGGTCTGATGACATTTCCTGTCTGGAGCACAATTCTGTTTCATTCTACTTTCTCTCCCACCTCTTATCTCCATGTCCTGGAGTTTTTAGTTAACTTAAACAATTAATAGTAGTTGGAACTCTTAACTCTGAGCTATCTCCTGGGCAGCCCAGCCAGTCTACCTGGTCCTGGTGCATATGCAGTTAGCTTTGACAGAAGCATTTGGCCAGATTATCCAAGTCTGGCAGCATGGTATGTACAGCTAGCCAAAAGCAGATAGTTTGGCTTTTTTTTCTAAGAGAGAGCAGGAACATTTTTTTGACTTGCAGTATTACTAAAAGATTACGTATCTTAATTATTTTTTGGAATAAGATGTATAAGACATTTAATTGAGTCTTTAATCTCTCTCGTATGTAATAGATTCAGTGTTTACATTTTTGCTGCATTGTGTTCCATTTAGGAGAGAGTTGATATATTAAACTGTCTAAGCCTGTGGAAGTCAGATGCAGGAATGGGGTTATCCTGCATGTTGAAGGCTACATTTTATCCATTATTTATGCTTCGTCTCTTTCAGGCTTCCTCATTTGGATATGTGGAATGAATTTTTTCACATCATGTTGAATATTCCAGATTGTCATCATCTTCCATCTTTGGATTTGTTAAGGCAAAAGCTGAAGAACATATTTCAGCAACACTATACTAACAAGATTAGGGCCCTACGTAATAGGCTAATTGTACTGCTCTTAGAATGTAAGCGTTCACGGAAATAAAATTTGGATATAGACAAATCTTATAAAACACACTGTAAATATGATTTTGCTCACTTTGAACCTTGATTTTTTCCATTTATTGTTTATGTACATGTTTGTTAAAAATAAATCCCATAGAATAAATTCATGTGATTTAGTTGTTATAAATATTTCAGCAAAATACACAACCCCACAAGGTCCCTGTGTAGGAGGCTGATTTGGCTACTTCTGGGATGCAAGCATTTGTGAGAACAATTCAGATGTGAACATTCTCTAGAAATTACTTTTTAAACACTGACCTGTTTAAGCCACAAAAGGGCCAAGACAGCTATTTTCCAAATTTGAAGTTTTGTGTCTGTGTGAGACACACACACACATACACACATTTCCCTAATATTTCCAAGGGACTTCAAGTTTTTCTGAATAAAGCCTGCCTGTCCTTTATTGTACCTGTTCTTCATTGTTCTCTATGAAATATAAATCCTAAGCCTGTTTATTTTTTTAAAGTACCAAAGGAAAATCTCAGGTTGTAAAGTCTCTCTTATAAGCTGTATAGATCATTAATTAATCATCTCTAGAATTATAGAGGACAACTTGGCATTTATTGACTTTCAGAGCTGGAAGGGCCTCCATCCCTCTCCCTTGTTCCCTTAGCATTACAATGAAAACAAATCCCAGGTTATGCACAATTCAGGAGGACAGAGTGAACTGCTTCCTCCTACCCTTATCAGCTATCAGGTTCCCTATTCCAGAGGCAATCACACCCCATTTTTTGAGTCTCCAAAAATGATGCAATGAATATTTTTATATACTATATTTTTGAAGCAACTGGCATAATTCTGCTTATTTTTTTTTTCACTTAATGTGTGGCAACAGAGACTATAACTACATATGGAATAACCTCATACTTTTTAACAGTCATATATTAGTGGGCTATTTGGCATATCTGTGATATAAATGCCTAGAAGTGAAATTACTAGGTCAGAGGTGAGTGTGTTCAAACTTTTGTATTAATATCTGCAAATAGCCTCCCATGGGAGTTGTGTCAGGTATCTATAAGTGTCTTTGTTCCTCACACTCAGGACAGATCAGGCTCTCTGACTTTTGCCAATCTGATTGATGAGAAAACAATTCTCTTTACAGTCTTAATTTGCATTTCTCTCATGAATTAGGCCAAATATACTTTGTAAAAGCTGTATGTGTTTTCCTGTTAACTCTTATCCTTTGTCCATTTTTCATTTAGATTGCTCTTTTTCTTGTTAATTTGTAGGAGTCCTTGTATATGCGGCAAAAGTATTTGTCCCAATTTGTCATCTATCTTTTCACTAGTAAGATTTCTCTTGCTGTGAAGTTTTTAAAATTTTGCTTTGCGCTCTGATTTCTAGTTTTAAATGGCTTTTGGCCTTTTTTGTTTTAAATTGCCATTCCCAATTGAAGTCAGAGCTCTTGGACAGCTGGATGTTGGGCACACCTGAAAAGCCGTCACTCCGCATCTTTGCCACTGATCCTTGGAGCCACGGGGTCCTTGGACTTCCTTTCCCTCATACAAGTCCAGTCATGTGTCCCGTCGGCTCCATTCCGGATGAGGACCGGTTAGGCTATCTCAGCCTCAGCTGCGGTGACACCGCGCACCCGCACGGGGCTGGGAGAAGGCAGCCGTGACTTTCTCCCACGGCGGTCGGGCCGGGCGGTCCCCGTTAGCAGCAGTCCGCGGCGCTCACGGGCGTCTTCACGGCGTACTGCCTTCTTCCCGCTGCTGTTTCCAGGCCGGGAGGAGTGGCGGCAGAGGTGCGGACTGTTTCAAGGGCGAGACTGGCTCACAGCCCACGGGGCAGACACAACCTCACTGTCCCTGGCCCCTACCAAACGGAGGGCCCCGCTGGGAGTCCGTGTGCCAAAATGTGAGGTGACGAGTTCACTGAAAGGCATCAGAAAATTCTGGAGAGGCTGCAATCCCCGCCACCACTCCTCTGCGTTTCCCCCCTGCCCCGCCTGTCGAGTCGGGATAACCGGGGCGGTGGCGCCCCCTGGTGGCCCTCGCGCTGCCACCAGGAGGAGAACAGAGGTTTCTAGAGAAAAAGCTCCAGCAAGGCCAACTCCCGACTCTCCCCGAAAGGCTCAGGCAGCAAGAGCATTTATGTGGCAAGGCTTACTCCCTTGCTCTGTAGTGGCGAACACAGGGAACAGCGTGTAGGTCCACGAATGGATGAATTCTTAAATCATGAGACGTTGATGGGACGGAATACTCAGCACAATGCGCGTCTGTATGAACCAACATGAAATAAAGCGATGATGGAAACAGCAGGTTGTGGAATGATACATAAGAAATATGTCATGACATCCTACTTAGGATTTAGAAATGCAACTATGTATTAATAGATCTAATACACATGACTGTGGTCAGATTCCATTCCAGAAGGATAAACAGCACACTCAGCAGGCACCCCTGGAAAAGGTGTGTGCGACTGAGTAGGCGGTGCGTGAGGAAGAGGAATAAGGAGCAACTTTCGGCTTCTTACTCAGGTTCTGGATTGAATTCTTTAAATGTCTGTGCATTATTGGCTAATTAAAACAAATGCCAGCCATATCTAACATTCGAAAAGATTACATTGTAACTCGATACATTTAGTATAATACTTTACATAGTAATGGATATAATATATACAAAGAAATACAAGAACGGTCACAAGGGTGCCAGGACTCCACACACGACATGGGCTGGGTCAGCGAGACCCCAGGTCCCAAATCCTGGTGGCAGTGGGAATGTAGAGCAACACTGCAAATGCCAGGCGTGGTTTTAAGGTAGGAAAACAAACTTGTCAGAGCACACTGTGCCACAGCACTGACTGAAGCCAGCACTGAGTCAGCATCGGCCCTGCCCTCTTGCTCCAGGCCCCACCACCGACCCCCAAAGTCCTGGGAGGAGGTACCTATTTGTCTGGCATTTGCAGATGAGGAAATGGGCCACAGAGAGTTATGGCTGGTGGAGAACCAGGTGTGAAACAAGAGTCTGGTCGCAGAATTCATGCCCCAAAGTCCTTGGCTTTGCTCCTGCAGGACACAGCCCAGAGGCCACTCTCAGAACCAAAGGAAAAAATGTCCCTCCCACGCTAGCTTCAGTTGCCACCCTGACACGTGACATGCAACATGCCACACATCTCAGGTCTCACTGCATTGAAACCTCAGGTCATGGGGACACACTCCCACTGATTCCCCTGCCTGATGTGGGGGCCTATGACAAGGAGAATGAGGGGCACATTGCCGGCTCTGCAGAGAATCTCATGTGCTCAAGATGCCATGGCGACCCGGTATAGCCAAACCCTTAGAGATGGAAAATAGAAAGATAGGTGCCAGGAGCTTTAGGGAAGGGAAGATGAGAGTTGTTTCATGGGGATAGGGTTTCAGTTTTGCAAGATGAAGAGTCCTGAGATGGATGGTGGCTGTACAGCAACGTGAGTGTACTTAGCACTTAGACACGCTTAAGATGGGAAGGGTTATGCTGTGTTTACTTAACCACAATGAAAAGTTGTAAAAATAAAATAAATCCCTTTTAAGTTCCCAGAAGATGCATTTGCTGTCCTAGGGGATTTCCAGTGGGGAAAGTGACCTCAGAAAGCAAGTGTTTCAAAATCTTGTCATCATTGTAATTCTGTTAAAGACGCTTTGAGAGCACACCCCGTTCCCAAAATAGAGAAGCAGTTGTGACAATTATATTTCCACATTCATATTTTTCTTCATTTTGAATAAGCACTGCCTTTTCAAAGCTACTGTACTATAACATATTCCTTTACCATATTTAAATATTCATATTCATTTATGTAACAATGTAGCACAGGATTAGTTTAATAGCACAGCAAAATACCATATAAAAATAAATGAAAAGCCTTTATAGACTCACTGAAAAGACAACATGTGTACATGTATGTGTACAACAGGTGCTCTTTACAATCTCTTCAACAATATTTCTTGCCTTATGGCCATAATCAAACATAAGAACAACCCTCAGTGGGGGGCCCACCCCACAGCCTTTCCACACCATTCAGCTGACCGCTCAGGGCAGGCCAGGCGAGGCCTATCCACAAGCTCATCAGAACACAGAAGGGAGCCTGGGCCAGAAACATCACCTCCAGATAACGCATGCAAAGAGGTGACAGCTTATCTGGGTTTCTAGTTGTGGACCCTTCCAAGACCAAGATCATGCACTGTTTTTAAAATTGGGATTCTTGGGACATATGTCACTGGGTGAGAAGTTCAGAATCTCATCCAAGGAAGGGCCTTCATCCTCAGGAGCAATTTCAGACTCGAACATCCGCTGCAGCAAGGCATCCACGGTCCTGTATTCTAGGAGGAAGGAGAAAGAGGCATATGGGCAGGGTGTGGTGGCTCACACCTGTAATCCCAGCATTTTGGGAGACCGAGCGGGTGGATCACGTGATGTCAGGAGTTCCAGACCAGCCTAGCCAACGTGGTGAAATTCTGTCTCTACTAAAAACACAAAAAGTTAGCTGAGCATGGCGGTGGGTGCCTGTAATCTCAGCTACTTGGGATGCTGATGCAGGAAAACTGCTTGACCCAGAAGGTGGAGGTTGCAGTGAGCTGAGATCATGCCTCCAGCCTGAACAACAAGAGCGAAACTGTCACCAAAAAAAGGCACATGGAATCCAGATGCGCTGCGGTTCTGGGGAGCACTGAGCCTTGCAAGTCAAGGCTTTCCTGAAGGATGGCCCTGAGTCAAAGACAAGGCACTGCACACAGTAACGAAATACTTCTTGAAAGCAAAAAATCACCCATCCATCCCAGTACTGATCCCTACAGAGCTCCCCCACCACTGGAGGCACTGAACACAAAGAAGAAGGTGCTTCTAGAAGGCTGGGGGAGAACAGCCACCCTTAGGGGCAGCATGCTCATACCACTCCTGCAGTCTGGGCTGTAATCCTCAGGCTGGTCTTATTGCAGGGTGCCTCGGCTCACACCTGTAATTCTTTCCAGCAGTTTGGGAGGCGAGAGGTGGGAGGATCACTTTAGCCCAGAAGTTTGAGACTAGCCTGGGTAACATAACGAGACCTCATCTCTACAAAAAATCTTTTTATTTTTTAATTTATTTATTTTTATTTTTTAAAGGCTGGTCAGGTGAAGCAGTGGGAGTGGAGAAGGAACAAAGAAATCTGTAACTGGTTGTGATCAATTAGCTGTAAACACCACTGCACTCGGACCAGCCTCTACAAAAAATCTTAAAAAGAAAATCTCCTGACAGCCTTTTTAAGAACTCCAGCCCCAGCTCTCAGAGGAGTCCGGATGACCAGAAAACATCCATGCAAGAGAATCACAATGATCACAGATACTCAAATGCAAGCTACATGAGGAGCCAGGGTGCCAGAGTCACATATTCTACTGGAAGGAGACCCATTTTGAGAGGTAAGACTTCATAGCAGCTTTCAAATGCTTACTGAGTTCTCTCATGAAAAAAAGGTCAGGATAGAACTGGGACCAATAAGTAAAATTTACCTGGGGGCTCGTTTCCCTCCCACCAGCACCCACCAGGAAGGGTGTTTCCCTCCCGGGAACCCATCAGGGGGTACATTTCCCTCCCACTGGAACCCATCAGGGGGTACATTTGCCTTCTAGACCCAAACTGAGAGGCAGACTGGCTTTGGTTTACTCAGCCAATTTTATTCATTGAGAATTAATGAAGCAAGTAAATGAACAGTTGTTAAAGACCTCTCTGTCCCAGGACCATGGTTAGGCCCTGGAAGATACCATGAAGAATCAAAAGACATGACCCCACCCACATGGGGCTTTCTACCCATGTGGAGTCTGCAAGGAGGGCAGATGGTGATCAAAACAGTCCCTCAGCAATGTGTGTCCTGCTGGCATGCGCAGAGAGGAGGGAAGAAGAGCTGGGGACCACAGAGCACCTGACTTTCTCGGAAACACCAGGGGGCTTCCTTGAGGAAGGGCTGCCTGAGCAGGGGCCTGAAGGATGAGGGACCTCAACTTCTCAAAGTGAGGTAGGAGTGAACTCGAGGAGAAAGCGGCAGCTGCAGAGGCCCTGGGGCAGGATGGAGCAGGGGAGCTGAGGCGCTGAAAGGCCTGCAGGGCTGAGGCGCAGCATGTGTGGCGGGCTGGTGGGAAGGGAGAGAGGCTGGGATGCTGAGAGAAGCTGGGTGCAGGGATGACCAGGGCCATGGTGAGGGGCCTCGTCTTTATTCTTGAAGATGAGGAAGCCACTGAGGGTCAGATCTGCATTGTAGAAACACCACACTGGCTGCTGTGAGGACAGATTGGGGGAAGATCAATTGTATTTTTGCATCAGATTGAAACGTACTTTTTGATGCGATTCTGCAGTACAGTCCTTTCAAGGCTTTCCTTTTGTCGTCGCCATCATCCCCATGAAGGCCACGGTCCTTGGTGTCCACGTGATCAGTAAGCTTCCCATCTTGAAGTTCTTCCCTTCAAGGAGGAAGAGGCAACAGAAATGTGGTCAGGTCCCTCAGCTAAGTTCCTCACGTGATCTCCCAGGCATGGCCTGGCGATCTAGGTCCAGATCCACCCAGGGCACTCATCTAGAGAGACCCTCAACAACAGGCACACGGGGCCAGGCTGGGTGCCACCAGGCACTAGCAGGTTAAACACGGCAAGGTCTTTGAGGGCAGCCCACCTCTAAGTCTGAGGGTCACTGAGGGAGACGCTCTACTTACTCTTGGATTCCCACTCCAAGCTCTTGAATCTTCTTCTCAATAGCAGTTTCCACTTCACTTTTTTCTAATGAATATGCCACAAAGAATGCCTCCAAGACAAATGCTATGAAAATACTGAGGAGGAGGAGGAAGAGGTAAGAGGGGGTTAGGTTCAACAGCCATGGTCTAGGTGACAAGGAATCCTGGTTCCAAAGAGCACTTGAGCCCAAGTTCAAGGGCAGCCTACTGCTGCAGATAAAATGCATGGCAGGAGGGAGAAAGGACAAGCACCAAAGCATCTCCCAAGGACTAGACACAACTCTCATTCATCCAGAGGCTCATTCTTCCTTTACATCCTCTTTAAACAATAAATAAAAGGAGGAAAATACATTTTATTTGAAGGGGAGTCTTAGGCCAAATAATTGTTGGGAGATAATTCTCCATGAATGTCTCAGGTGTCTGTGAAGACTGGATCCTCTGCCCAAAGACCTCTAGAGCCAGTTTCATGAGAGTGACACAGAGAGAGGGCTCCCTCCCCATGGACAGTCCATGGCAGCAAAGATAAAGATCGTACTTTCTCTCCCAGGAGAAGTAAGGATAAAGTCAGTTTCTCTCTCTCTCATTCCTCCTCCTCTTTCTCTGGCCTCTGCAAGGAGGATGGGCAATCACCAGCAGCCCTACATGAGATCAGTTTCCTAAGTCTGGAGTCCTCTGCTGCACCCCAGCCACTCCATCTGATCCTCACCACACTGGCCTGTGGAATTAGGGTCCAGGAAACTGCTACAGAGTGCTGCTTGGGCTGCTCCTCCTGCCATGAATAACAGACCAGCTTTGTCTTTGACCCAAGATCTGGTGTTTTCTGTTAGTATGTTCATGGCAAATGAATCTGTTAGCTTGCCAGTAAATCTCAGAGCCTTCACGTTCCTGACTTGACAGTAATGATGACATAGCCCAGGGCTGTCACAGCACTCACAGGCTTTTTGGAGGGCAGTCAAAAATATCTGGCCAGGTGCAATGGCTCACACCTGTAATTCCAGCACTTTGGGAGGCAGAGGGCGGATGCTTGCTTAAGCCCAGGAGTTTGAGACTAGCCTGGGCAACATAGCGATACCTCATCTCTATAAAAACAAATTTAAAAAGAAAAGAAAAATTCCTCACTGTCTTTTTAAGAACTCCAGCCCCAGCTTTGAGCGGATCCTGATGACCACAAAACACCCATGCAAAAGAATCACAATGATAACAGGTACTCAAATGCAGGCCTCTGGAGTCACAGATTATGACAGAAAGGAGACCCCTTTTGAAAGGGAACATGTCATAGCAGCTTTCAAACGCTTACTGAGTTTCCCATGGAAAATAGGTAAGGACAGAACTGGGACCAATGAGTAAAATCTACCTGGGGGCACATTTCCCTTCCACTAGAATTCACCAGGGGAGGCCGAGCATGGTGGCTCATGCCTGTAATCCCAGCACGTTGGGAGGCCGAGGCAGGCAGATCACCTGAGGTCAGGAGTTCCAGACCAGCCTGTTTCTACTAAAAATACAAAAATTAGCCAGGCGTGGTGGTGAGTCCCTGTAATCCCAGCTACTTGGGAGGCTGAGGCAGGAGAATTTCTTGAACCCAAATGAGGGAGGTTGCAGTGAGCAGAGAACATGCCAATGCACTCCAGCCTGGGCAACAGAGTGGGACTCTGTCTCAAAAAAACAAAACAACACCAAAAACAAGAATTCACCAGGGGACACATTTCCCTTCCACTAGAATTAACCAGGGATCCCTTCTACTAGAATTCAGCAGGAGACACATTTCCCTTCTAGAATGTACCAGGGGGCAAATATCCCTTACTCTAGAATTCACCTGGGGACATATTTCCCTTTCACTAAAAGTCGCCTGGGGTCCCTTCTACTGGAACTCACTGGGGGCACATTTTCCCTGTACCTGTGGGGGCGCTAAGGAGCAGAGCAGGATGACAAGGGAACTGACTCCTTTGGCTCTCCAGAGTCCCAGTGGTTGGCTGGATTTCAGCGGAGGTGGGACGGCAACTCAGGGGGCATGTTCCAGAGATGAATCGATCTTAGTGGGGAAGGGTAGATAGACGAGCCAGGCCTCAGTTTCCTTCTGGCCCACACTATTTGGGAGGCTCTGAGATGTCTGTTCCATGCAGATGTGCGACACACTGGTGACACCGTGAGGAACACAGAGATGAGCAAAAGGAAGACGCTTCTCTCCAACAGCTTAGCACCCATTGGGAAGATGCAGCCCACCCAACCTAACCAGGCTGGGACAGAGAAGAGGATGGTCCCTTAGCCGTGCTGAAAAAGGAGATGCAAAATTCCCAATGCGGCTGGAGGAACTCACTTAACAATGAGGATGACGACCACTATGTGGAACAAGATGAAGTACAGCTTTGCAGCCTGGTGAGTCACCAGGGCAAAGCCGTCCGCAAGGAGTAGGAAGTTAAGGAACCAGACCTTTGAGAAACTCTGCGGGTCCCCTGAGCTCCAAGAGGCCAAGAGGTAATCCTCTTCTGCGTTAACCCACCTCACGCAGGATGCAGACTGCCCCACGGATCTCCACCTTCTCAGAAAGGATATCGTGCCACTGGTTAACCACCGTGAGCTCTGTCAGCACCGTGAACGCAGAGGCCAAGTCATTGAAGTTGTTCTTGCAGTATCTGCCTCGGGCAAATGCAGAGCGCTGTAAGGCTGGGTTCCCACACACCAGGGCGTCAGGAGCAGTGAAATTCGGATCAAAGAACCGAACTTTGCCATGGAACACTTCCATCCCGACGATGGCAAAGACGTAGTAGACCACCTAGGAGGGGAGACACCGGGTCACCAGCAGACCCTCAAGGCTGCAAAGGAGTGGGCAGAAGCAATGGGAAGAACTGTAGGCCCAGCCAGTCATGCTGCAGGGCCTGGCAGAAAGGGCACTGCTGGTGTATTCCCAGGGAGGGTCACCCTCCCCAGTCAGGAGTTCCAAGCAGCTGGAAGGGGGTGGGCAGGGGTTGGCTACTCGGCCAGTCTGCTAGGAAGCCGGAGCCATTTGCAGAGGGACAGAGGACATGGCCAGCATGGCCACACCTTGACCTCCCCAGGGGTCATTTACAAAGTCAAAAACAAAGCTCTTAGCAAGTTAGTGGGTCAAACATTCAAAAAGTAATAGTCCTCTAGGAAAAAAAAAAAGTAATAAAGATCAATCTTTACTTTGTTCTTTATACTAAAATAAATTTCAAAATAAATAACCAAAGAGTTAGATGTAAACACACCAAAAACCCCATACATGTATTATCAAAAAAAAAATTGAGTAGAAAAAGAGCAGGCCAGGTCCAGTGGCTCACGTGTGTAATCCCAGCACTTTGGGAGGCGGAGGCAGGCAGATCATGAAGTCAGGAGTTCAAGACCAGCCTGGCCAACATGCTGAAACCCTGTCTCTACTAAAAATACAAAAACTTAGCCAGGCGTGGTGGTACGTGCCTGTAATCTCGAGGCTGAGGCAGGAGAATCACTTGAATCCAGGAGGCGGTGGTTGTGATGAGTGGAGATCATGCTGTTGCACTGCAGCCTGGGTGACAGAGCAAGACTCCATCTCATAAAAAAAGAAAAAAAAAAAAAAAAAAAGGGCTGGGTGCGGTGGCTCAAGCCTGTAATCCCAGCACTTTGGGAGACCGAGGCGGGTGGATCACGAGGTCAAGAGATCGAGACCATCCTGGTTAACATGGTGAAACCCCGTCTCTACTAAAAATACAAAAAAATTAGCTGGGCGTGGTGGCGCGTGCCTGTAATCCCAGCTACTCAGGAGGCTGAGGCAGGAGAATTGACTGAACCCAGGAGGCGGAGGTTGCAGTGAGCCAAGGTCGCGCCATTGCACTCCAGCCTGGGTAACAAGAGCGAAACTCCGTCTCAGAAAAAAAAAAAAAAAAAAAAAAAAAAAAAGAAGAAGAAGAAAGGAAAAAGACCTTATTGAGCATGATTTAAAACCTAGAAACTATATTGACAAGTATGATATATATGATAAATCTAAACTTTTATATACCCAGAAACCAAACCAAAACAAAAAGCTTTTATGTCAAAAAGGAAAAAAAGGTGGCAGACAAGGAAAAAGGAAACATAATTGCTCTTACAGCCTACCAAGGGCTTATTTCCTTAATAGGCCTAAGGCATATTGTATTGAAAATTAAACAGAAGAGCAGAACAAGGATGAGGGCAGGCTGTTTACTGAAAAATAGGCACAAATGGCAAAAAGAACATGGAAAAGGTGCTCAGCCTCCTGAATAACTAAAAAAATGCAGTAAAAAAAATGATACAATGCTGCTTCATCACCGATCAGACTGGAAAAAAAACAAAAAACAAAAAACAGAAACGTTTAATAACCCCCAGTGGTGAGGGCTGCAAAGAAACAGATGCTGTGGTATACTGTGGCTGGAATGCAAATGGGAGCTTGTCTTTTGGAAGGCAGGTTGCCATTATAGACCCAAATTTTAAACCCATTTAACCTTTGGCTAGCAGTTCCAATTCTGGGAATGTATCCAACAGATATACTCATATAAGCCCACAAAGATGTATGCACTGGGATAGTCTTTACTACATCATTTGTGATGGCAAGAAGGTGAGACCCTTCAGTGGCCTATCAGTAGCAGGGCTGGGCAGACGCATTCTTCCCTCAATGGAACACGTTTAATCATGGCAGAGCTTACCTGCAGGCACGTGCCTCCCAGAACACAGGACAAAAGTATTCAGTAGAAGAAAGTCGTACAACAATATTTTGAATGCATTATCCCACTTGACTAAGGAAAAACTGGATACCTACAGGCATGCATGGGATAGACTCATATACGCTGAAATATTTAGGAAGAGTAATAAGAAACACCTAATAATGGTTGCCTCTGGGAAAGAGCCATGTCGGGAGTGGGCATGGGCAATTTACAATCGACCTTTCATTCTTCTGTGCTAAAGGAATTTTTTTTTTACCATTATCAATAAAAAGAACAATAAGTTCCCTGTTGCAGCCTCCGCTGCATCCACACGGAACCACCCCAGAGCCGGAGGCCCCGGGTCCCTGTGCAAGCTTTTTACTGACTCATTGTCGCCACTGGGGACCTCAAGGAACAGGTGGGCCCTCTCCACACCTGGGGCGAGGAAGACTCTCACTGGCACTCCCTGAAAGGAAGCTGGCTCTTAAACCTACATCCTTAAGAACCTACATGCTTACCTGCCAGCCAGGAATACCCACCTGGACTGTGGGTGAGAAAGAAACGACGACTGGTCAGCCCACTGGGTTGTTGTTTACTGCAGCAGCCAGTGTACCTGACTGGCATATGCCCAATGTTTCTAGAAACTTCCTATTGCTTAAGAATGGCTACCGGAAACAATACATTGCATTTACTTATTCTCCCTTTCTTCCTCTCCCTTAAAATAAGGCTTACTGAGAGTTGCCACGAATAAACATCTCACCACTTTGGTCACATCGGATAGCAACGAGAGCAGGTACTTACAAAGACGAGTCCACCAAACGTCAGCATCGCGGGCCCGATGTTGATGAGCGTGGTCACTATAACCCGGAATCTAGGGCAAAACAAAGTCACACACACAAGGCCAAAGGGAAGGTGGGAGGTCAAACTCACACCCCACCGGCGTGTTCCCCTCCACACCTTTCCCCAGGCCCGAATCTGGTCTTTAAATGTCATCAGGAATTGGCCTCTGTAGCTGTGCCGGCATTGATCCACCCACCAAGCTAACAGGGAGTTAACTGGCAGCTTCTCCCGAAGCAAAGCAAGGCAGGCTGGACCAAGACAGGAAAGGTAGTCGCAGAGAAACTCACCAGGAAGACACAGTGTTGAGGCAGGAAAAGGATTAGCCTCATCTGTTTTTCTCCCTCACCTTTTCCTCCATCCAGAGCCAGCCTGTTTTAAGGCTGTCCTGGAGGTTTATGCTGACAATTGAACACCTTCTGGAGGAGTATGCCTGTCCTCGGAGGCAACCATCTCCCTAGCACTCCCTGGAAGAACTCTGGCCTATCGAACACCGAGGGCAGCGTTTACCTTGGGCTTTCGGGTCAGACTCCTGGGTTTGCATCCTGATCTGCCTCTTTCTAGCTGTGTACTATGGGGAGAGTTACTTAACCTCTCTGAGCTTGTGTCATCACCCCTGATATCTCTAGTTTTATTATCCCTAGTTTAGGGATAATATTATTTAAAAAAACTAGGGATTTTTTTGTTATCCCTAGTTTAGGGATTAATAAAACTAGAGATATCAGGAGTCATAGGTAGGATTCAATAAGACAACGGTTAGCATGCTAGAGTTAGCACTAGCTGCATCATGATAACTCTTTATTTAGTCACCAGTGCAGGCAGGCTAGAGTTCAGGCCAGTCACAAGGATGACAGTGACCATCACAATCCCTGCCCTCAGGTGCTTCTTACCCATCTTCATCAGCTTCCCTCCCCACAACCACATGCCCCAGAGAACCCCAACAAGTCACATCCTGAATTCATAATTGGGGACATTTATAGTAAGCAGACTAGAGTGCTTTCCACCAGGCCCAATGTGGGACCCCCTCGAGTGTAGCCACTGCTCACCGCTTCCACTTTACCTCCGAATGCTGACGATGACCCTCAGGAGCCGGAGTATTCTCAATATCAAGACAATATCCAGTATCTGCTGACTGTTATATTCTCTGGCTGGAAAAGGAACACAATCGTTTAACATTCTCAGAGCCTTTGGCTTGTTCCTTTTATGCAGTGAGGTCTGTGGCTCTGTGGGTACCAGGGAAGATGCAGCTTCAATTCAAGGATCGACAATAGCTGTGAGCAATAAGAAGGAAGTGCTGCCCAGTCACCCTAACTACTTCTGTGCATCAAAGCCAGGGGCCGGCTTTAAAGAGATGACCGTGTGAGCATTTGGTGTTTGGATGCTTACAAAACAAAATCTCTAAAAATACAGCTAAACACAAACGAAGCCACCATCATCCAAAGAACATGCAACATTTTAAATAATTATCTATGTCCCCTTTTCCTCTCTCCAAACATCTTAACAGTATGCAGTGGGTGTTCAACAGACTGATGAAACGTTCAATAGATTGAATGCAGGATTCCCATCCCAGGAGGCGGTGAAGCTGAGAGTTGGTGGCACTGACCTGACTGAATGGTGGCATTGGCCACAGTGGCCACCAGGGCAGCAACGATGATCAATGTGTCAAACCTAACAGTGCAAAAGCAAAGTCAGTTATGAATCAAGAGAAAGGACTGTCAGGTTTAGGACATGATGAATTCCGGGAAAACTTCCAATCCAGTATCATATGCAATGCAATGATTCAGCTATAAAACTGATTTCCATCATTTCTAGGATAGTGGATATGAAGCAAGAAACACTGTTTGAGCAACGTAATGAGCATCCCTTGACTACTCCAAAGAACCACCCATGGGCATCTGTAGAAATCAGCTAATTCATGTCACAGTAATCATCTTCCGAGATAGTCTAATCTGTAAGAATACTTTGACACATTTTCAGAATACACAGTACAATCTTTCTTGGCATTAATTTTACTAAACACATTGTAACTTTTTAAGTGAAAAGGAAATTCATCACCTTGTTACTCTTCTGTCTAACAACTGTGCCAAAGGACAACAGAATATTGGACAATATTAACCCATTCCCCTTTGGCCATATGCACACCATAATAGTTTCCTGGCCCTTAGAGCAGTGTCAGGCCTGCATTTGTGTCTCTGTGTCCCACAGGGCCTGACACACAGTCAGGCAATTTGCAGCATGTGCAAGATGGTTCCAGACTGGGGGTGGGCAGTCTGGGAAAGAAATAGCCCACAGGGAATACATCCCCCACCCAGGGAAGAGCTCACTAACAGTGCTCATTGTAAGTGGGCCAAGGGAGCAATGGAAGGAGCTGCCTTGTTGGGCGTAATGTTCTAAGACTGTAATACTAAGAGATATATATTTAGTCTTCACTAGTATACTTAGTTCTCGGCCAGAGCTTGAAAATCCTTGTAATTTTCCAAGTTAGAAGAGTACACCACGGACTTTGATGCAGCCATAAAGAAGGATGAAATCATGTCCTTTACAGCAACATGGATGGAGCTGGAGGCCATAATCCTGAGTGAACTAACACAGGAATAGAAAGCTAAATACTGCATGTTCTTACCTTAGAAGTGGGAGCTAACCATTGAGCACACATGGACATAAACATGGGAGCAACAGACTCCGTGGACAACCACGGAGCAGGGTGTGGGTTGAAAAACTACCTATTGGGTACCGTGCTAACTACCTGAGTGCACTATACCCATGTAACAAACCTGCACATGTACCCCAGTATCTAAAATAAAAGTTGAAATTTTAAAAAGTAGGCTGGGCGCAGTTTATCATGCCTGTAATCCCAGCACTTTAGGAGGCTGAGGTGGGAGGATCACTTGAGTTGAAGAGTTCAAGACCAGCCTGGGCAACATGGCGAAACCTGTCTCTACAAAAAATACAAAAATTTGCCAGCCATAGTGGCGTGTGCCTGTGGTTCCAGCTACTTGGGAGGCCAAGGTGGGAGGAGTGCTTGAGCCAGGGAGGTCGAGGCTGCAGTGAGCTGAGATCACACCACTACACTCCAGCCTGGGTGACCCAGTAAGACCCTTTCTCAAAAGAAATTAAAAAGTATAAAGGTGAAAGGAGAATCTTGTAATTCATAACAAGCACCTTTCAGCCCCACCTGAGTTTAGGTTAACGAAGTACTTTTGGAAAGCCCTTAGGGATGGGGTTTGTTGCCAGGGGAACTACCACGTGATTAGACAGTTGGGACTTTCAGCTCCATCCCTTCCCCAACTCGCAATCTTTATGGAAGGGGAGGAGCTAAATGTTGAGGTGATTGTCAATAGCCAGAGATAGAATCAATCATGCATACATTATGAAACCTCTATAAAAACCCCCGAGGATGGTGTTGGGAGAACTTCTGGGTTGGTGAACACGCGGAGGTGCTGAGAAGGGTGGTGTGCAGGGAGAGGGCATGGAAGGTCTGCATCCCTCCCCCATACCTTGTCCTTATAATCTCTTTTATTAGCGATGCCTGAGTTGTATCCTTTTACAATAAACCAGAAATCCAGCAAGCAAACTTGTTCCTGAATTTTGTGAGCTGTTTAGCAAATTATCAAACCCAAGAAGGCAATGGGAACCTCGGATTTGTAGCTGTTCAGTCAGAAGTGCTGGCTCGTGCCTGGCCTCTGAAGTGCAGGTGGCCTGTGGGACTGAGCCTCAACCTATGGGATCTGACAGTAACTCCAGAGAGGTAGTGTCGGCATTGGATTAACTTGTGGGACACACACTTGGTGTCCATAGAGTTGGGCAATTGGTGTGTGTGAGGAAGAAAATGCACACATTTGGTGTCATAAATACTGTGCAAGAGTAGAAGAGGAAGTTTTGCTTTTTCCTTTTTAAGATTTTATTTTATTGCTTTTTAGGTTTGGGGGTACGTGTGAAGAACATGCAGGATTGTTGCATAGGTACCTGGATGGCAGTGTGGTTTGCTGCCTTCCTCCCCATCACCTATATCTGGCATTTCTCCCCGTGTTACCCCTCTGCAACACCACACCCTCTACTGTCCCTCCCCTAGCTCCCCCTACAGACCTCAGTGTGTGACGCTCCCCTCCCTGTGTCCATGTGTTCTCATTGTTCAACACCCACCTGTGAGTGAGAACATGTGGTGTTTGATTTTCTGTTCTTGTGTCAGTTTGCTGAGAATGATGGTTTCCAGATTCATCCATGTCCCTACAAAGGGCACGAACTCATTGTTTTTTATGGCTGCATAGTATTCCATGGTGCATATGTGCATATTTTGCCTAGCTTTCCTTTTTTAAAAGATCCTTTCCAAATTCAAGATGCCACGATCTGTGATGCTAATTTTAGCTAAAGTCAGTTAAAACTGACATCACGAATAACAGTTTTTACTGAACCAGAGGTTCAGGATCTTGTAAGATGCCTCCAAACTGGGCAGATGGAGCTTGGCAAAGGGCAGCCATATTTCCAGAAATGTGGCAGGAAATCCCCTTTCACCCCCACACCAGCTCTCTGCTCCCCAGAACACAATCTCACCAGTTCCAGAACTGCTTCCTTTCAAAATAGGCTCTGGGTTCATACGTGTACAGCTTCAGGAGGATCTCAATGATGTAGAGAGAGAGGAAAAGCCATTCTGCATAGGAAATGAGGGGGTTTTTCTCATCCAGAGTAATGAATATGGCATTTATTAGAATGATGACATCGAAAACCCAGACAAAAATCCTGGCATGAGAAAAAAAAAAAAAAAAACAAGAAGAGAGAGATCACGTCATGCCGCATTTCAGTGAGAGGAACATGAGGCTGTTCACAGGGACTATTCTGTTTCCTGGCACCACACACAATCCTCATCTATGGAAGTTTCCAGTGGGGCTGGGCCCTCACGTGCACCTGCTTCCTGCTGCCCCTGATGCAGGCCTTCTCTCCAAGAAGAAAATGAAGACAGAGTGAGGAGAGACAAGAAAGCCATGGTTTTCCAAGGTGCCCTTTTGGGAACAGAGCATCTGGATCCAATGAAAGCTTAGGCAGAATCAGGCGGCAGGGAGGAGGTTTAGGGTTTAGTGCAGGATCGTCATACCCTAATACTTGCCCCTGGAAACTTAACATCCTTCACTAAGAAAGCTTCTGAAAACTTCTTTACCCTTAACACACACAGGCCTTCCAGGAGACTGGCACGTTCATCTTCCTCACTAAGTTCAGAGGGAAAATGGATGAAAAACAAAATACAGCTGGGCTGGACTCAGCTTTTCAGCTCCAAGGCCCACAGAGCAGTGGCTCAGGGAATGCTGGGTGAGCTGGACATGGCTCTGGGGAGACTGAGGAGGGACTAGCGCAGTGTTCTCTGTGATGCCTCTACTCCAGGGCCAAACACTTCAGGTGGCACATGGACAAGCCAACCCCCATCACGTGAAGCACGTTGATAGATCAGTGTTGGAGTTCAACAGTGGGATTGACAGAAGAGAGCCTCTCCACGTAGGGCTTTGACAAAGAGAAGATATGGTCAACTAAAAGGAGTATTCACCTACTCCCTGGGCTGAGCTACATGCAAGGGCTTCTGAACCACACACTTTCGTGAAGCATTAAATTCAAAGAAAGTACATTCTGTAGAATTGGCATAGCAGATTCCTCTGTTTTTCAAGCAGTTTGAGAGAAAACTGCCCCCATCTCACTTGCCTGTGCCGAACCATCTTCTGGACCAAGAGGCTTGCAGATGACTGGTATACTCGCGGCATCCAGGCTTCCAGCGGATGTCTCTTGATGTTGATGGTGACCACCTGGATGTTGAGGAGGTCAGCCAGTCGTAGAAAGTTCATTTTGTCTGTAATGGAAAAATGACCCCAATATCCATGGCCACTGTAACACGAAGGTCTGAAGGGTGAAGCCAAATCAGCACAGACTCTTGGATCCACATTTCATAGGTAGAGATCTGAAGCCCTAAAGAGTGAAGGCTCAAGGCCAAGGAGCTGGCAAGAGGCAGAGACAGGGAGAGAGGCAGAGCCAGCGAGTAGCACTGCCAGCCTGCAATCCCCCGGCACTCCTGCCTGCCCTTCCTCAGACCCCTCTGCCAATCCCAAGCAGCCAAAAGTGACTGTGCTCATTTGCAGAAGCCACACCTCACACCCTGCCCTCCACCCTGCATTTCTCTTCCCACGGACCATTGCTGCTTTCAGTGTCTGCCTTGACTTACCATTCTAGCCTCAACTCCGCTTTCCCTTTCTCTCCATGTAGTTTCCAAAGTATGAGTGATCCATACCCTTGAATTTGAGCCCCTCCCTTCTATTCTGCACACCCTCTCTCCTTGCCCTCTTCTCAGGGATTCACTCAAACCCATAGCTTCCAAGGTGAGCTCACTCACCACCCCAGGCCAAAGCACAGTGGGTGCTTTCTTGACTGACTTTGACCCAGCCGACTGATGAACTGACGCTCTCTCCACATCTGCTGAATGCCCGGGGCCAACAGGCTATGCTCCACTACCCTATGTACCTCTCTCTCATCAGTAGGGTCACTGGGCTGCTTCCCAACTGTTTATGCATGAACTTCTGGCAATTATGTATAGCTTAAATAGTACATCAGTGGATGAAATCAGAATGTGCAGAGTGTTTCTGCTTCTTCGAAAACTAAGTTGAATGCTTTGGAATCTCCGAAGGAAATTGCTGAAATAAACTGCAGGTGCAAATCAGGTGTAGCTGAGAGCACAGTGAAAGACTGGGGCAAGAGTTTTAAAAACCTAGAAAGTGGAGCGTGCCTGGCAGATACCCAGGTCTCCGCTTTGGTTTTCAGAAGTAAAAAAAAGAATCATCGTTCCATAGAGGGCACACATTAAACACTCTTGATGCTGTTTCCCTCAATGCCATATAGTGCTAAGGACATGAAAGCACATGCATCCATCAACTGGATGAAAAACATCCTTAGGTATCTTAGCATCTGTCAAGTTTCCAGATCTTTAGAGTATTTACCTACTTCCTAGGCTGAGCTACTTGCAAGGGCTTCTGAACCACACACTTAAAGACCAAAGACATTTAAAGCCCATTCAGGGAGAAGCGCAGCCTCGGGGAATTAAATGAAGTGCATAACCTGGATCCACGGACCTGGGCTACCTGAAGCTCCACCGTCAGACCTTATGGAGATGCTGAAATGACAACCATAACTAGGATTCAGGGTGAACTGGCGAGGTCACTGACGAGGAATCCAGCCCAAACCCTTACCATTAAACAATCTCAATCAACAAGGGGGATCCCACCGATGTCACTGCAGTCACATCTTTTAATCCAGAAGATTCAGTAGAGCAAGAAAGATGAAAGAAATTCAAAACCATAGTAATTTTGTGTTAAGAAAGAATTTGTACCCATCTGCAACTTTACTTTGTAACTCTTTCTATGAAGGGCCCGAGAATAAATGTTTTAAGCTTCGCAGGCCACAGAGTCTCTGTCACAACTACTCAACTCTGCCATTATACATGAAAGCAGCCAGAGACTACATGTAAAGGAACAAGCGTGGCTCTATTCCAATAAAACTCAATTTAAAAACGAGCAGTAGACCATATGGGGCCTGTGGACAATAATCTGCCAACCGCTGTTGTAAATACCACATTATCTGCCTCATATTCTCTTTGTTAGTAGTTCTATTCAGTCCTTTTCTTTCTGTACTTGTAAGTTTTGTATTTCTCAGTTAACACTAGATTTAACACTTTCAGTTCTATCAGAATTTCAGGGTTGGTGAACTACCAGTTCTATCCTTGGTGACTACAAGTCCTTGCAACTGCTGATCAAGGGGAAAAGTGGGAATGTTCACAAATGTCTGCACAGCGTTGAGACCATTGTGAAGCACATAATTCTGTTTTCCCGCTTGGCTTTCTGTTACTAAGGCTATCTCTGCAAGTGTTACTTGAGCAAAGAAATCTCTTGGGGCATTCCAGACAGCAGAAATCACTGTGTTCTGTGAAATATAATCTAGGATTTACCAAAGCCAACTAATCTGACAGGCTGTCTTTCTCTTTCTTTTTTTTTTCTTTTTTCTTTCAGATAGAATCTTCCTCTGCCACCAGGCTGACCCCTTGGGCTCAGTTGATTCCCCCATCACAGCCTCCTGAGTAGCTGAGATTAGAGGTATGTGACACCATGCCCAGCAGCTTTGTATTTTTTGTAGAGACAGACCACATTGCCCAGACTGGTCTTGATCTCCTGGGCTCAGGTGATCCTCTTACCTAGGCCTCTCAAAGTCCTAAGATTACAGGCATGAGCCACCACACCCAGCCTGTCTTTCTTAAAAACATGTTTGCCTGGTAATAATATTTAAATGGACACGGCTATTTTTTTTAGAAGGTAAGGTACTAGAGAAATGGGTTAAACCATCGTCTCACTGTACTTTTTTCTTACCACATTTATGGAGCTTCAATAAAATCTATGACTCTGGTAGATTCCTTTATTCAAACTAGATGAATTTTGTTCTCATTTAATTTACAAATAGGACCACAACTCAGGTAACAAAACTAAGCAGCGCTAAGGGCTGAGAACCCGGCTACCTTGATGACTCCAATCATGAGCTAACAACTGGAGGTCAGGGTAATCGTGGGGAATTGCGTGTCTCAGGGGGTACCTGCCTTCTCTGATGTCCTAAACCAAGTGCTTCTTAAAGGGTCACTGCTGGAATGGTGCTGGTCAATCCTAGTGCTCCCCACCCTCTGTAACATAAGTACTAAAATTTAGGAACTTGTAGAGCAATTGACAGGCTAATTTCATGCCTGCTGGATCTAATCATGAAAACCTGAGACTTGTATTTTGTGTATCGTGTATATCTGTTACTGACTTATTGTATTTATTAAAGTCTCTGTCAATGACAGATTGGAAATAAAAAAGCTTCAGCACACAGTTTGAAAAGTGCTGTGCTCTAGGGTGGCCTGATGAGGCACCCTTCCTCTCCCTTCCCCGCCATCAGCAGAGCAATCACACACTCCATGGCAGCTGTCCCTAGCAGGAGTCACTGCCTGTCCCTAGCAGCGGGTGGCACAAAGTAATCTGCTTAGGATTTGAGAAACCTGACAATCTGAGCAGACACTCTGCCCTGTGACATTGAACCGTGTGGCTTAGGAGACGCTGCTTGGGCTCCTGCAAAGACCTTCTTCCACAGGTACAAAGAGAATAGAGAGAATGACTAAGACCTACTATTTGATAGCTCAACAGGTTGACTATAGTCAATAATAACTTAATTGTATATTTTAAAATAACTTAAAGAATGTAATTGGATTGTTTGTAATTCAAAGGATAAATGCTTGAGGGGATGGGTACCCCATTCTCCATGATGCACTTATTTCATGTTGTATGCCTGTATCAATACATCTCATGTACCCTGTAAATATATACACCTAGTATGTATCCACAAACAATATTTTTAAATAATTAAAAACTATATTTTTAAAAAAAGCCTTCTTCCATCCTGGATCCAAAGCTCTTACCGGAAGATGCTGGCACCGCTCATGTAATAGTGTCTTGCTGTGCATGTCTCTTTTCTTCTGAACACCAGATTCAAGTAAGTCCCAGAGAATCTTTGCCACCTTCACACACATGCATGGAGACGTAATAAGGCCCACAGCTCTGTGGGACTAGTTTGAGAGTTCTTGCCTCCCTTAAGTGAACAGTGGCTTAGAATCTCGCCATCCTATCAAACCCGCCACTCCATTTGGGTGTGTTCCAATCTCGACTTTCTTAAAACTGGTGAAATGGGAGTGCTCTGCAGTTAGGGCGTATTAACACATCACCTTTCCCACATTGCTACCTCATCTTCACGGTCATTTTTAATGCTATCAAATTTTCCTATTAAATGACCGTCACAATTTGGAGCAGTTGAGCACAAGGATAAAAAGCACATGCCTTGGAGCCAGATGGCCACCCACTTTGCAGCTGTGTGGCCCTGGACAAACAACTGAACCTCTTCGAGTGTGTTTCCGTATTGACAAATGAAGATAACAAAGACACTTCAGTGTGCTTGGGGGAAGATTACACAAGCTCAATGCCTGGGGAACTGTAACAATGCCTCATACATGACAAGCACGCCACCAATACGAAGCTTCTTAATAATGGCTATCGGCCGGGCGCGGTGGCTCAAGCCTGTAATCCCAGCACTTTGGGAGGCCGAGGCGGGTGGATCACGAGGTCGAGAGATCGAGACCATCCTGGTCAACATGGTGAAACCCCGTCTCTACTAAAAGTGCAAAAAATTAGCTGGGCATGGTGGCACGTGCCTGTAATCCCAGCTACTCAGGAGGCTGAGGCAGGAGAATTGCCTGAGCCCAGGAGGCGGAGGTTGCGGTGAGCCGAGATCGTGCCATTGCACTCCAGCCTGGGTAACAAGGGCGAAACTCCGTCTCAAAAAAAAAAAAAAAATAATAATAATGGCTATCAACCATGAACATGTACGCCTTCTTCAACTTTTCACTTTCAAATGCAAAATGCAAACTGAACATCTATGTATGCATCTCTCTTCCGTATTTCAGAATACCTCCCTAAAGTAGAACTGCAGAAGTGGAAGGACCGTGTCACCAGGTAAGGGCTCTGGGATGGCATGGGTTGCTGACACCTGCTTGTGGCCACGTACACTAGGACAGGGCAGTCAGAGCACAGCCTGAGGTTGTTAACTCCATGGCATTCTTGCCAGCAGGTGCATATTTTTATGTGCTAAGCTAAATACATTTTAAAACATGCTATTGCTTTACCCAGCATTTTGTGAAGCCCCGTTTCAGAGTGCACAGGGAAGACGACAGTCAGAGGCGAAGGCTTCTTACCTACATGCCCCTTCTGTCCCTCGTCAGAGATCCTCAGGAGAAGCTCCAGGTGGGCGCTGCTCATGTCTGGTGCCACCACCTGTGCCAGCTGCCTCCACTGAGCCTCCTCGACCACAAACTCAGTGCCCACCTTGACTTTCAGAACGTTGAATGCTGCTGTCATTTTGTGACGTTTCAGGTATGCCAGTTTGCAAATTTCATTCTTAAAAAAACAGAATTGTGTGTTTTTAAGAGAACGATTCAAGAGGATATCACTTTCTTACACCAATATTTTAAGGTATTCAAAAAGCTGAAGAGACATCACTGATAGGTGGGCTGATACACAAGGTAAATGACACCTCCCAGCTTCAGGAGTGTTTCCCTAACCCCACTCTGCATCAACAGAACTCATCTTACCAAGCTGAAATGAGGGAGCCCGGGAAGGAAAGTCTGTGCAGTGAGAAATAGAGTGGCAGGAGGCAGCCAGTTCCCAGCTCCACCCTGCCCAGAAGGAGGGGCGATTCCAGAAAGGAAGGAAATCGGATGTGCTGTTGAGAGGCGAGAGAGAGAAACCCAGCTAGAGGGCAAAGAGAGATACACCATGCAGTCCATCGAGAAAGAGGATGAAGAGGAGAAAATACAGGGAAGTGAAACTAGGCCAGATGTAGTTTGGGGCCGGAAGGGCCTGCCTGGAGCTGCCATCTGGCCTGGCCACAGGGAATCCTGTGGAAGGGGGGAGGCTCTGCAGCCCTTCTCAGGGCTGTCCAGGCCCATCTCCACTGCCCCTGTTAGTCTCTTGCCCACTATCATGGCTTCACTGATGACATAGCTAGACTGTAAATTCCTAAAGGGAAGGGCTGGGTCCTCACCATCGTTGTGGTTCCTCAGGAGCTGGCATGGTGTCTGGTGCATGCAGCATGTCTAAAATATGTTTGCTGACGGAGGCATATTGCAGAAATTTTCCTAGGGGTGTTCCTCGGGTTTGGGATGGGCATAGTAACAGTTGTGTTCCCAGTGAAGGAGAGGAGAGGCGCACCAGACTCTCTGGAATAGCCTCTCCTGCCAGAGGGAGGAAGAGGTCAGAGGAGGCCTGGATTTGGGGTGAGGAGGAGCTGAGGTTCCTTCTGCACAGAGACTCCTTGGGATCTGGGTAGAGCCAGACACCTTCAAAGGCCAGACTGACCCAATCTCAGACTTGCCCCGCCATCCCCTTCTCTTTAACTGCATTGAAGTTTGCCTGACTTCTTGCTTGACCCCAAGTGGAAACTCCATTAGCAAGGAAACATTCAAAACAGAACCAGAAGGCCAAAAGCCCTAAGATTTGTCTTTCCTTAGGGAAAATCACCCTCGGAAGAAAGACTTCTCTTTGCGATGGGTTTTACAATAAAGGAAACAGACACCCAAAGGTCTGTGCTCGTGAGTGGCAGTGGACAGACGGTGGGTGAGATGGCCGAGGTGTCCTGGGGGGATTCCTGGGTGCAAATCAAACCTCCTTCTACCCCAAGCACCCACTCAATGTTTCCAGGAATTCTCCAGACATCAGTCAAGCAGGCAGGAACCAGGGCAGGAACTGTGGCTTTAAGAAGTTTCTTCTGTTTGAAGGGAGAAAGGAGCTGGAAGCTTAGAGAATATCCTCAGCCCAAATCACACTCACAATGCATCTAGGAGCCACGAACTATTTGATGCATTAAGAGCAAGGAGCAAAGTAGCACCCGACATTCCCTATGAAGGAGCCGGTGCCCAGGCCAGGTCCTCTGTCCTGTGGCTCTCCAGAGACACACTGTTACAGCCATCGCGAAAGTGGAAGAGCTGCCCCACTCAGCAGAAGGAAGCAAGGCATCAAGTTTTTGGGTCCATTAGAGTAAGTAGATCAAGTACACTTTCAAATATTTAACAAATACATTCACTGGCCTCCCAGTCACTGCACCCACCCGCACCCCACACCCGACCCCAGCTCTCGGCTCACGCCTGTTACCTTTAGGTGCTTCCTATAATTGTTGTACACCACGGCCAGAAAGACAGACATGAAGATGTAGGTATTGATGATAATGTAGATTATAAAGTACAAAGAATACCACCAGTTGAAGTCGTAGGCAGGCATCCTAGAAGAAAATAATCGTGCTTCATGGTTTTCCATACCCTAGCTCCACAATGCATATAAGGCTGACCTTGGGCAACGTCCCACATGCACAGTCCATGTGCACAAGGCACCAGAAATCCCCCTCTAACACTCTCTCTCCCCCATAGGGTGAGATGGGGGCCACAGAGCCATCACCATCCCTAATGCTGAACAGCTTGCTTCACACCTGCCTTTCTGAAATTCTTAGCACCTTACAGAGGCACCAATTTTCACAGTGGTAGGACCTTAATGATCTCCCAATTCAGTTTTCTCCCTTCACAATGAGAAAATTGTGGCCTAGAAAAGACAGTGACTTGCTAGGAATTAAAAAGAGAATCAGAAGTGTGGCTGGGAAGAGGGCTGTGCAGTGCAAAGTCAGGGCTCTGTGGGACACCCAACTGCCTTGGCTGGGGGCCAGATCATATTCTAACCACCCAGGGACAATACAGGAAAGGTTCCCAGTGATAATCCTGGCAGGGCAAGTTGTGACAGGTGCTCATTCTACCTTTAATGAAAACTGGATTTCCTACAGGAGGGGACATCACAGGGTTCTGGCTAGGCTGTCAGCCAGGGGTCTGAGGAAAGAGGCAAGAGAACGTAAGAGGAGCCAGGGCCAGGCCTAAGCATGAGGAACAACCAAGAACAGTTGAACTGATGATACTACGCATCAGAAGACGACAGAAACCCTGCTTCTCTGAGGTCACTATGGGAGCAGATGTGGCCTGACATTTGCAGTGAGGCTCTCCCACTAGAGAGCTGCCCACTCTCTAGAGCTAGAGAGCTGCCCACTCTCTAGAGCTAGAGAGCTGCCCACTCTCTAGAGCTAGAGAGCTGCCCACTCTCTAGAGCTAGAGAGCTAGCTACTCTATGCAGCACCCCTTAATGCATGAGGTAAATCCATAACAAGAAGACATTAGAAAAAACCATGAAGTTCTTTTCCTAAGTACATGTGTGGAGAACTGGCATTTTGCAAGGAAAGCAGCAATTACTGATGTTTACATGTATTTCCTGTTTGATGTAGCCAAAACACTGCATCAATGCTTAGGAGAACCAGCCATGAATCCTTTACAAAGATGGCTCAAGTCTTTAAACTCAAGACTTAAAGAGGATCCCAGAATAGAACATGGGCTCAAATATTAAGAACTGTATCTCAAGATATGTCTGCTGTTCCTTCCTATTTTGAAATAATTAATTTAAATTTAGTTTTAAGTAGAGAGGATAGGCTATTACTGGTGTAAAATGCTATATTCTTCAAAACATTTACAGTGAATGAACTAAACAGGAAAATCACTCTTTCTTCTCTCTCAGCCCTGCTAAGTCAGGAGACAGCTGCCTTGAATCCTGTGAATTCTGTTTTGGAAACAGACGCTCATGAACATGGATCGAGGATGCACGTACATGATGTCAGGACTGTTCGCTGTAGTGACCAGCACGTAGAGCTCAAATGCTATGTCTAGAATGTTTTCAAAGTAAGGCGATCCCTCTGCTGTTTTCAGACCCCTAAAGAGGAACCAAAAACACAAAGTAAAAACCACACACGTACATTCAGCTGTGGTTTCTGATACACTTTTCCCCTTTCAAGAGCAGTCTGCAGTGTTTGAACATGGAAGATTATGTTTGGTGACAGATTGTGCCACCAACAGACTCAAACTAAATATGGGAGAATTCCCAGGCAGAAACTTCCAGGTAAGTGTGCTCACCGATCCCCAAAAAGCTTCAAGGCCATCAGGGAGAACATCAACATACTGAACATGAACAAGAGGAAGACATAGAGGATATCGGGCAGAGTGTTCCGGAGGCTTCGGAAAGCCCTACGGATCTATGGAGACAAAATGTTATTTTATTTATAAGAAACCAACTAACATTCTGCAAAAGCAAACCATCATGTATCCTAAATCATATGCTTACCTGACGACTTTCAGGGAAGTTAATTAGGAAGACTGGTCTTAAGGCCCTTGACCATCTGACGCTGCGGACGTTAATAGATTCCAGCGACCCGTAGATAATCAGATCGATCAAGGTCAGCTGTGAGAGACACAGGACAGAGATGTCAATACTACACTGTCCAAGGACAGTGGACGCATGTTTACCGACCCAGGAGAGGCACAACGTTATGTGAAAAAGCAAGTTTCATAGACAGCATAGTTCTACTTTTGTAATGTGATATTAATAATAGCCGATGTTTGACATTTTACCATGTTCCATGTAGTGTAACAAGCACCTCTTGTAGATTATTTTATTTTAGACTCATCACACCAATTAGGTGGGCACTATTTCTGGAGGAGGAGGAGCTTGAGGCACAAATAGGCACTTACTCCTGGTCACACAGGTAGCTGAGGTCAGAGCTGGGACTGGAACCCAGGCAGTCTGAGGGTTGAGTCCTTGCTATTAATAACACTGCGAGATCCTTCCCCACTACACCTTATTGACCTTTTCTTCAATTTGACATGTTAAAGAAAGGAAGTATAGCCTAGTAACAGAGATGAGGACATCTAGACTATAGAAAACCCTTATTAATCTTCATAAATGTCAGGTTTATGGGCAAGAGATTAATGTGAAAAATCTAAGGCAAAAGAAGAACCTAGTGTATTTTAGAAAAATATAAGTAAAAAAGCACAATCTACCATCATCCAAAAGTGTGAATTCAGCCCCTGTGGTGATAAAGCACAGAGGACCTGGTGAACTCCTTCCCCTCGAAGGGCACTCTGCATGAGGTGGGGAGACAGCTAAGAAATGAGGCTGGTTCACAACTGCTGCACTGGAGGGAACCAGTGTGGCTGTCCCAGGGGAGTGGGGACAGGTGGATCATCAAGGGTTAAGATATGTGAGGGGCTTCATGGAGGAGGCACTCTTTGATGTAACCTACAGCACAGCAGAGCTTTAAAAAGAAAAAAAAAAAAAGGAAGGTCAAGAGCTAGACAAGAAAATACAATAAAACGACTGTTGAGGAAATACTAGGCTGGCATGTTTGGGAAGCAGAGGGTCCTGGGAGTAGGGACAGAGGGAAACAGCAGAAAGTGACAAGGACTCATGGAAGGTGGCTTTGCAGGCCAGGCTAAAAAGGCAGATCTCATTCCCAGGGCCTTTCAAATAACAGATGGGGCAAAGAAGTGAGAGGAGAGCCCAGGAGGCTGCATGAATATATCACATTCTACTTATGACATATTTCTTGTGCATTTTGTTAGGAAATAAGGTTGTTTCCAATTTGTCAATATTATAAGCAGTCAGTCACCACCAATTTTGTGGCTAAATCTCAGAATGCATCCTTCTTACCTACAGATAAGGAATGTAAGTCAAGGGTGCAAGTGTATTTACCATCAAGGCTTTTGAAAGGAACTGCCAAACAGCCTTCCAGATATATAGCTTTATTCATCTCTCCAGTAGGGTGTAAGAACATTTGTTTCATGGCAAAGACATGAAATCAACCTAGGTGCCCATCAGGGGTAGGTCGGGCAAAGAAAACATGGTACATATACAGCATGGAATACTATGCAGTCATTTAAAAAGAATGAAATTATGTCCTTTGCAGTAATATGGATGCAGCCAGAGGCCATTGACCTAAGTGAATTAATAATGGAACAGAAAACCAAATACTGCATACTGTGATTTATAAGTGGGAGCTAAACACTAGGTACTCATGAACACAAGGATGGCAACAGTAGACACTGGGGACTCATCAAGGGCTGAGGGGGCAGAGGGAGGAAAAGGGTTGAAAAACTACCTGCTGGGTTCTATGCTCACTACCTGGGTGATGGGATCAATCATACGCCAATCTCACCATCACAAAATATACCTATATAACAAATCTGTCCATGTACTACCTGAATCTAAAACGAAAACTGAAATTACAAAAAAAGGTTTGTTTTCAATCTTGCTAACATTGATTTACAGGCCAGCACATGGTATTTTCTTGTTTTATTCTATAATTTTTAATTGGTGAAGTAAAACATCTTTTCTAGCAGTCATTTTACATGTTTTTTCTTCATGAGTTGCTTTCATTTATCTTCAGCAAAATTATCTACTGGGATATCTTTTTTTTCCTTTAATTGGAAGTGCTCTTGATGTGTTGAAATGTCTTCACCGCCACATGTTGCCATATTTGTTCTTCAGTTTGTGGTTTGCTTGCAGTTGTGCTTATGGTGTTCACTGAATGGAAGTGTTGTTTTATCAAAGGCAGATCTATTGAGTCTCTTTTCTTCATGGCTCCTGCCTCCAGTCATAAACTCTTATAGGTACTACAATGAACACTCACCACTATGGTGACCATGATGCAGATGTTTTTTGTATCCTTCCAGAAAACCATTTGAGGAGTGATTTTTGCAAAATGTATCAGTCTCCCAAAGAATGCAGTCAGGCAGAGTATTTCTGCTATTGAGGTGGCCTGCAAGGAGAAAACAGAGGCTGAGCACGAGGACTTGCCATGGGGAGGCTCAGCTTCAGTTATCTCGTACCAACTCCAGCCCCCGCTGCTACCCTACCTTTCCTGCTTGGTACCCTCTGAGAATTTACCATGTCCCTTAATTTTACTGAAAATTGCAGCAAAATTTTCTGCCAGTTAGAATTGTTTCTTCCTCCAAAAAGGAAACCTGTCGCTGAGTTGCAAATTCCATGACCCATACTGGCAGGGATCCCTGGGAGGAGCTGCACCAGCAAGCTGAGGACCAAGAATATATTTCCCCAGAAAAGGGGGAGGTCAGAGGCAGGCATCGTCTATGCTCTCAAATTCCCCATGTTCAAATTCCAGACACCTAAAAGTCCCATTTCTCTAACAGTAAGGTAATTCCCCAAAGATGTGGGAATAATGGGCCCTTCTGTAAACATCGCTGCCACTGCAGTCCTGCTGCTTATATGAGTCTGGTTAGAGATGAGCGTGGAGGCCACTGAGATCAAAACTGAAGTCCTGATGGGTCTCCCTCTCTAGATTATGGGAGCCAACTCCAGACTCCTGCACCTGCTAGCCTTGCAGCTGGTGACTGCAGGGCAGGGTTTGCCTGAGGCTGTTGAGATGCTGCAACAGCTCCCTAAGAAGGGCATGTTCCTCCATCAATAGGGAGAGACGGGTGGAGGATAGGAAGCAGTGGAGAAAAGGACAACTTAACTTGAGCTAAAAAGAGGGAAAGGTCTTGAGTGAGTGCCAGAGACAGGGAGGAAGGGGCTGGCTCTGGGCCTGAAAGCAGCAGGGAACACAACCCAAACTTATACGTGACCAATAACAGACAGGGAGTGAGGACGCAGGAAAAGAGGCAAATGGCTGAGAAGACCGCTCCGTGGGACTCCCGCTTTGGCCGGAGTGGACTCTGTCCAGGTTTGTGAATGCACACCTCTGCATCTTCAGACTTCGTGTTTGTGTTGACAGTGATTGGAATAAATGGCTTCTATCCAGAGAATTAATTAATTGGAGGATCTTTATTGTAAGAAAGTTGGTGGCTGTCACTTTGGCAGCCCCAGTTAGCCATACTTCCAGTTTTCACCCCCTTTGCAGTGCCCTCCCATGTTGACTCAGAGTTTCAGCATGATTGGCATTGGACAACAGGACTTCAGCAGGTGTGATGCAAGCAGAGGTGTGATGGTGCAGTACACTGGGATTCTTCTTCCTGGACCCAGCCACCCACTGGGAGAAGCCTAAGCCACGTGGAGCAGCCACATAGAAGAGAGCTGGGGAACCTGCGGCCACAGCTATAGCCAGCAGCGCCTGGCAGCCATGTGAGAGAGCCACCTTGGATGTTCTAGCCTCCAGAGATCTAAGAGCTTCCAGACATCTACACCCCAACACCACTACCCAAGCCAATCTTCCACAGAGTCATGGGAGATAATAAAAGGCTGTTGTTCCCTAAAGCTAGGGGTCAGTGAACTCTTTCCATTAAATACGTGAGGCTTTGCAAGTCTTACAGTCTCTGTCACAGCCACTAAACTCTGTTGATGTAGCTCCAAAGCAGCCAGAGACAACACATAAATGAATAAGTGTGGCTATGTTCCAATAAAACCTTATTTGCAGATAGCAAAATTTGAATTTCATATCATTTCCATGTGTCACAAAATATTGTTCTTCTGTGTCTTTTATTTCCGAGTCATTTTAAAATGTAAAAACCATTTGTCTTAGTCTGATCAGGCTGCTATAACAGAACACCATCGGCTGGGTGGCTCATAACAACAGAAATTTATTTCTTCACAGTTCTGGAGCCTGGGAAGTCCAAGATCAAAGCACTGGCAAATTTGGTGTCTGACGAGGGCCCACTTTCTGGTTCATGGACAGCCATCTTTTTCTGGCATTCTCACACGGCAGAAGGGGCAAGGGAGCTCCTTGAAGCATCTTCTATGAGGGGACTCATACCATTCATGAGATGGGCTCTACCCTCATGATCACCTCCAAATACCTCCACATTGGGGGCTAAGTTTCAAAATACGAATTTTGGGAAGACACGAACATTCCGTTTATAGCAACATTCTTAGCTCACAGGCTGTACAAAAATAAGCAGCAGCTGAATTTGGCCCCCAGTCTATGGCTTCCTGACCCTTGTTTTAAGTGTCTGAATTTTAGGGTGGTTTGTAAATACATTTGTGCAACTGATAACTAAAACAAGGAAGAACAAAAAACGGTCTGCGTGTGGTTGTTAAAAAGCAAAAGCTTTGAAATCAGACAGGCTTAGGCTTGAAGCCTAGTTCTGTCTTTGTTGCCTAGTGACCTTGGACAAGTTACACAACCTTTCGAGGCTCAGCTTCCTTGTCTGTTAAATGAGTATGATAACAGCAGGCATATCTCATGGAGTTCCTGTAAGGCTTAAGGAGAATACAGAGAAAGCACTGAGCGCACCCAGCAGATAGCAAGCAGGGAGCAAATGATAGCTATTAAGACAGAGGTGAGAGTAATGATGAATCAGAAATCAACATGGGCAGGGCATTGGTCTACTATTTAGACCTCTCTGGATTGGCTGGTGAATTGGATACATTACTCAAAATCAAATGTGATCAGCTCCTAAGCACCAATAAATACTCTAATGATATGACTATGAAAAAAGCCGAAAATGTGGTATGTACAAATTGCATATTATACTATATGAGAACATCATCTGCTTAGCAGTAAGTGAATTGGCTTTGAAAATATCATTGAACCATCTCTGATTTTGTGTGTGCTTGCACAGAAGACCAAAATGTCCCATTGCACTTAAAATGCCTTATGAAGGAAGCATCCGCTTGGTGAGTAGACAGAACTACTCTAACTCCCAGAAAGATAATAACATCTAATTCATATTTTTTGAAATTTGAGAAAAAAAGGAAGAGGCACAAGGCCCAACTCGTCTATGACTGAATCTGGCTAGCCATCTGCTGTGGCCTGCTTACCAAGAACGGCAGAGGAAACAACGCAGGCTCTTCAAATAGGGCAAGAGCGAGGTCTACACAAATGAAGAAATATGTGGCAACCTGTGTTGTCCAGTGGTTATAAAAATAGTAAAGTCTGCATAGGAAAAAGACAAAGGTGGTTATAAACAAGGAACAGGAGCTACACAGCACCCAAACGTCTCTTTAAAGAACTAACGGTGGATAAAATAAGAAAGTTATGTCTTAGTCATATTTCCTTCAAATTCTAGAAAGCAGGAGGCAGTATTTAATGGTCACATACTACAAACAGTAACACAGAAAAATCAGGAATATGATCATATCTCAAAGCACATTTTCTTAACAGTCTCAGCTAAGATTATGCCTTCCCCATGGGGTTGTTGTGATGGTAATAAGGGAATACCCACAGAGGACTTTGAACAGTGATGGACACAGATTAAACTCTCAGTTAAAGTGGCCTATTCTGATGTGGCATGGTGGCCTAACCTGATTTTAAAATGTACATCAGCCCATCTTAACACGATAGACTCAGAAGAGATCTGGCAAGAGGTCATGCTAGTCTCTCCCTAAGTGGGGACGGCACCCCAAACATGCTTGGCAACCTCCGGGCATAAGGCATCAGCCGCCTTGGGAGGCCCTGATGCTGAGCCCTAGTGATAGACAGGCTGAGACCTGTAGGGGTGATAGAGTAACAGCTGAATTCCCATAAGAACAGGAGATGCATGGATTGCATCAGAAGACAATGAACAGGAAAAAAAAAAAAAGGCTTTTCACTTGAGGTAACTCTAAGAGGATAACCATGAAAGGAAAAGACAATGACATGTTCTTCCCTTGAGTGCACTAGCTTCTATCCCGGGTATTGCTCACTTACTCATCTATCTGATCTTACTCTGTTTATTGGATGCTTCCCTAAATGTGAGGCCATGCTCTCATAACTCAAAAAAGTATTCAGCCAGGCATAGTGGCTCACATATGTAATCCCAGGTTGTGGTGGAAGGATCGCTGGAGCCCAGTCGTTCAAGGCTGCAATGAGCTGTGATCACACCACTAAACTTTAGCCCAGGCAACAAAGCAAGACCCTGCCTCAAAAAGAAAGTATTAGATTATGTCCAAATCTATGTGCTGTGCCCTACATACCTCCCAAAATACCTATGTAAACAATACCTTCAGTTTGGGTTCAACTTCAAGAGTATCAGGTGCTGAAGGACAGGTGGTTCTACATGATGTTGTAACATGTTAGTTACCTGATGGCCTGAGGTGATGTTTCGAATGGGACATTTCTGTTGTACTGGGCATCCAAAACATAGGCAGCTGCCAGGAGAAGATCCTGTTCCCCATAGAGAGAGTAAGGGAGACCAAGTCAGAGCAGGAGAGGATACTTTTCTTTTTCCTTTGTTAAGTGTGCAGCAGGTATAAAAGAAGCACCCCTTTGCCTCTCCCCAGACCCACTCTCCCAGAGGTCGCCAACGTCTAAACAGTGTTGCCTGCACACCTCCAGTGTCTCCTGAGCACTGAGAATCCTGCAGTGGGGCTGGGCCCAGACACTCTCCACTTTCTTGAATTCAAACAGGGACTCTCAGAGGAAATGAAAATAAGCATTGACTAAAGCATGTACTTGTACCTAAATGGTATATTCATACATACATATGTTAACATATGGTTAAGTACACATATATATTCAAATACACATACTGTCATGTGCCCCATAACATTTTGGTCAACAATGAACCACATACGTAACAAGGGACCCATAAGAATACAAAGAGTTGAAAAATTCCTACCACCTAGTGAGTTCATAGCTGTCATAACGTCATAGCACGATAAAATACATGATTGTGGTGACGCTGGTGTCTACAAACCTGCACAGCCAGTGGTATGAAAGTCTAGCACATACGATTATGTATGGTACATTAAATGTGATAATGACAATAAATGATTATATTACTGGTTTATGTATTCAGTATACTTTTTATGGTTATTTTAGAATGCACTCCTTCTACTTATTGAAAAAGTTAACTGTAAAACAGCCTCAGGCAAGTCCTTCAGGAAGATTCCAGAAGACATTGTTATCCCAGGAGATGACGGCTCCATGAGTGTTACGGCCCCTGAAGACCTTCCAGCGGGATGAGGTGTGGAGATGGAAGATAGTGATGCTGAGGATCCTGACCCTGAGTAGGCCTAGGCTTATGCATGTGTTTGTGTCTTAGTTTTTAATAAAGAGTTTAAAAAGTTAAAAAAATTTTAAGTTTAAAAATATTAAAAAGCTTATAGAATAAGGATATAAAGAAAGAAAATGTTTTGTTAGCTATGCAATTTGTTTTAAGCTGCTATTGCAAAAGAATCAAAAAGTTTATACAGTAGAAAATTTATAGTAAACTAAGGTTAATTGTTATTGAAGAAAGAAAAATATTTTGTACAAATTTAATATAGTCTAACCGTGCTGTGTTTCTAAAGTCTACAGTAGTGCACAGTAGTGTCCAAGGCCCTCACAGGCTCTCACCACTCACTCACTGACTCACCCAGGGCAACTTCCAGTCCTGCAAGCTCCACTCATGGGAAGTGCCCTATTCATTTTTTACCTCTTATACCGTGTTTTTACTGTACCTTTTGTATGTTGAGATACATGAATACACCATTGTGTTATAGTTACCTGCTGTATTCAGTACAGTAATATGCTGTACACCTTTGTAGCCTAAAAAATAGGCCACAGCCTAGGCGTCTAGTAAGTAGTGCCATCTAGGTTGGTGTAAGTACATTCTATGATATATGCACAATGATGCAACCTCCTAATGATCTATTTCTCAGATCTTATCCCTGCTGTTAAGTGATACATTGCTGTATATATACATATACATACAAACAAATCTGTAACACAAAATTATATACTACGTATTTATACTATATGATACATTTATATACATATAAACACAAAATACAAAATTCCTTTTATATTTGCAAGTTTGCCAAAGATGTTGAGCAACTGGAACTCTCATACATTGCTGGTAGGAACAGAAAATGGCATGTTTACTTTGGAAGACAGTTTGGTAGTTTCTTAAAATATCAAAAAGTATGACCCAGCCATGCTACTCCTAAGTGTTTACCAAAAGAAGTGACAGCATATGTCCACACAAAGACTAGTACATCCAACCCAAGTATGTGGCTTGGGTCAGACACCTCATCCCAAAGCTGCACATATATACATACGTTCATCCGGCTTAACAGCCCAAAACTAGAAGCCACCAAAATGTCCATGGACGGGTGAGTGAATAAACAAAATGTACTGTATCTCTACAATGGAATACTACGGAATGAGCAACTAATAGATGCAATGAAATGGATGAATCTCAAAATAATTGTGCTGAGTGAAAGAAGCCAACCACCTCCCTAAAAGAGTATTCATGGTATGACTCCATCTGCATAAAACTCTAGAAAATAAAAACTAACCTACACTGACAGAAACCTGATCAGTCGTTGTGTGTGGGCACGGGGAGGAAGACAGGAACAGGCTGGGCACGGTGGCTCATGCCTGTAATCCCAACATTTTGGGAGGCCAAGGCGGGCAGATCACTTGAGGTCGGGGGTTTGAGACTAGCCTGGACAACATGGGGCAAGCCTATCTCTACTAAAAATACAAAAACTATGTGGGCATGGTGGTGCGCACCTCTAATCCAGCTACTCGGGAGGCTGAGGCAGGAGAACAGCTTGAACCTGGGAGGCAGAGGTTGCAGTGAGCCGAGATCGTGCCACTGTACTCCAGCCTGGACGACAGAGAGTAACTCCATCTCAAACAAACAAACAAACAAAGAGATAACTAAGAGAGAGAGATTAAAAATAGGCATAAGAAAACATTTAGTGGGCAATTAATATGTTCACGATTCTAATCATGGCATAACTATCACAAGGGTATTTATATATCAAAACTCATCAAGCTGCATACTTCAAATAAATGTAGTTTAGTGTGTATCTATTATAGTCTTAAAAGTCTGTTAAAATGTCCAAAAAGAAAAACAAATTGTTGGATTAAAAAATTGATGTGGAACAATCATCTCATAGATGAATTAACTGCTGTTAAGAGTCAATTGCTTTTTGAGCAACAGGTATGTTTAGAGCTGGTATTGCAATTCTTAGAGGCAGCTTGTTAAAATCTAAGAAGTACCATATAAATGTGTTTAACACTTATCACACATTTTTCTTTTTTTTTTTCTTTTTGAGATGGAGCTTCACTTTGTCGCCCAGGCTGGGGTGCAGTGACACAATCTTGGCTCACCGCGACCTCCACCTCACAGGTTCAAGCGATTCTCCTACCTTAGCCACCCAAGTAGCTGGGATTATGGACACTCACCACCACACCCTGATAATTTTTATATTTTTAGTAGAGTCAGCATTTCACCATGTTGGCCAGTCTGGTCTCAAACTCCTAACCTCAAGTGACTCACCCATCTTGGCCTCCAAAAGTGCTAGGATTACAGGCATGAGCCACAGCACCCAGCCAAACATTTTTTTTTTACATATTTAAAAAACATTCTAGTAGGAAACTATTAATATCGATTTTGTTTTCATTGAACATCTTTAACATTGAGGAAGAGTACAGTTCCCAGGATATGCTTAGAAATATATTTTTGGTAGAAAATGCCTCACATCCACAAGAGATCGCTTTTTTTTTAATGAACACACATGAACGTTAAGAAAATTCCCTTAAGGCTCGGCCGGGCGCAGTGGCTCACTCCTGTAATCCCAGCACTTTGGGAGGCCGAGGAGGGTGGATCACAAGGTCAAGAGATCGAGACCATCCTGGTCAACATGGTGAAACCCCGTCTCCACTAAAAAAATACAAAAAATTAGCTGGGCATGGTGGTGCGTGCCTGTAGTCCCAGCTACTCAGGAGGCTGAGGCAGGAGAATTGCCTGAACCCAGGAGGCGGAGGTTGCGGTGAGCCGAGATCGCGCCATTGCACTCCAGCCTGGGTAACAAGAGCGAAACTCCGTCTCAAAAAAAAAAAAGAAAGAAAGAAAATTCCCTTAAGGCTCAGAAAGATCATACTCAAAGCATTCTGATAGTGAAGGTTTTTTTTTTTTTTTTTTAAATAGAGTCTTGCTCTGTAGCCCAGGCTGGAGTGCGGTGGTGCAATCTCGGCTCACTGCAACCTCCGCCTCCCGGGTCCTAGTTCAAGAATTCTCCTACCTCAGCCTCCCAAGCAGCCGGGATTACAGGCACAAGCCACCATGCCCAGCTGATTTTTGTATTTTTTTGTAGAGACAGGGTTTCACCATGTTGGCCAGTCTGGTCTTGAACTCCTGGCCTTGTAATCCACCCACCTGCCAAAGTGCTGGGATTACAGGCATAAGCCACGGTGCCCGGCCGATATTGAGGCTTTTAAAAAAATATCTATGGCAACATCTTTTAAGGCAACTGTAGTCCCCAGTTTAAAAGATGATGCTGCAAACATCTTTATAGTCCCAGTGAGACAATTTGTCCACAGACATAAGCAGTTCAACACTCCTGGATCTGAGATGCATCCTTCATATGCCTTCCAGGTAGAGAATGGCAAAAAGCACTCACCAGCAGTGCCTCAGCCAGTCAGGCCCTAGGGGTCATCTCCATGAGATAGACCCCAGACATTGAATGACAAGTACCACATCACGCCCACCAACTGCCATCTGAACTCATCCCTGCTGATTTAAAATCTGCTGATTCTTTCATATTAGACACTTCACCTTTACACTGTTTCAAAGCGTTCCCATTTTTAACTAGTATTACATTTCTGACATCTATTGCCTTTTAAAATCTCATCTACTTTATGTTTTGGTTCTAATTGTCTTCCCTCTCCTCCTCCCTCCCATTTGTGTGCAACTTCTTTTTTTTTTTTTTGAGACGGCGTTTCACTGTTGTTACCCAGGCTGGAGTGCAATGGCGCGATCTCGGCTCACCGCAACCTCCGCCTCCTGGGTTCAGGCAATTCTCCTGCCTCAGCCTCCTGAGTACCTGGGATTATAGGCACGCGCCGCCATGCCCAGCTAATTTTTTGTATTTTTAGTAGAGACGGGGTTTCACCATGTTGACCAGGATGGTCTCGATCTCTTGACCTCGTGATCCACCCGCCTCGGCCTCCCAAAGTGCTGGGATTACAGGCTTGAGCCACCGTGCCCGGCATGTGTGCAACTTCTAAGTGTTCTGTGTTTTCCGTGGGAAGTGGTACTCTTAGAAGACAGGCTTTACTATAATGAGCTTGTTTATTTGAACTAAGGCCATTTGTATTTTCCCTTAAAATGAACTGTTTTTATCCAATCCAAGAATGTGGATTATGTTAGACATCCCATTCCAAAACTG